TCTCCGACAGCATCATTACTTTAACGTAATTATAGCTCGGCGTCCCGTACACCTGCCTGTTTACCCACAAACAACCGACTGTGCCGTGGACCGAGCGACGTCGGGCCGCCTCGGTCCTCGTCCGCCACGGCACAATTGTTTTCGAGAAGAAAAGCTCAGTATATGGCGTGCAAGACCTCGTCGACAAAATGCCATTGACAGAGCGCCTCTGTGCCGGCTGAGGTGCATTCAGAGGTTTCCATGGAAATTTATTCATGAAGCTCCGTTAGTACAGAACGGAAGAAGGCATTTCTTGCTGCTCCGAACAAATTTCGGGAGCGTCTATGCGTCGCCCGAGCTCCTTTGAGAGTGCCCTCCGCTCCGCAGACTGCCGTCGGTAGGGCTTTTGTTCTCTGAGTAGGACCCGTAGACGGGAAAAACGCTCGAATAGCTCGCCGGTCAGGTGTCAATTAACATTTTTTATGAGCCCTCTCCCAACACTTCTCGAATCCTCGTGATCAACTTCCATCGTCCAGTAGATGAAGAGTAGACGGCTGCTTTCTTCTCCAGTGGCTTGGGGACCTGCTCACTGAGTAACGAGCCCCGTCTTGTTCGCGTATCCCTCAACGAAGCTGTTGCCATGAAACATTGCAGGATACGTATGTGGCCTGTTGTGCTCATTATGGTCGTTGGGCCTGGGCTTTCTCGGACAGGCAACCTTGTGTCGGTCATTGGGACCATGATGCGTTGGTTTAGTTTTCTCGGGTTAGAACACGGAAAAGCAGCCAGCTCCTGAACACAGCTCTCGGTCTGTTTCGAGCCCCGGGCTACGAGAAGTTGACTTCCTCCTCAGCCGGGACAGGAGCATCGTTGGTGGCGGTTACAAGCTCGTGGAGCGAACACTCTGGGAAGTCTGTTCGCCTACTTGCGAAACAACGAATGTTGGGGCTCTTAAGCAATGTTTCGCTCGACCAACTCGGAGGACCGGGAGCAGGGTCATCTCAGAGTCTCTGACTCTTCTCGGAACGACTTCTCATTGATCTCGGCGCCGTGGTGGGCTTGAATATCCGCTGACAGCGCAGCGGCATGGGGAGAAAATGGAGGGGGGCGTGCCCAAGGAGAGGAGCCCCCTAGATTCTCGATTTCTCGATGGGTCGCGCCTGTAAATCGCGCCTAACAAATCATGAGGAACTAGTTTCCCGAACCTGGGACGGAAAAAGCTTCCTCGTTCTCGGCAGAACTCATCAAAGCAGGTTCGAACGGTTGTCATTTTTCAAACGCTGATCGATCGGAAGCCGCTTCCGGATCTGATTCGACGCCGTTCTCTCTGGATGGGAAGGGAAAACGAATGGATGAACCTTTAAATAGAGTCGATGAGTCCGCCCGAGCTCCGGCGTGCATAAAACATTCCATTTGTAGTCGGTCTCCACGCACGTTTGTCTCGCAAACGATCAGACATGGAGCGGGATGATGCTCGATGCTCGAGGATGATGCGCATTGTTGCTATTTCCGACATCAATTATAACGTCCGGCGGTCTGTACCGCCTGATGGTTTTCCCCACCTTCGTCCCGATGTACGAGACTCCATCCGGTGTCCTCTATACCGCGAACAGTAGCCGTCTCATCGAGCGTCGCAACTTCGTAATTATTGCTCTCCACATGCCAGGGAGTGGGTAACGCCGGAGACACTATGGCCACCGTGGTCTTTGCTCTGTCACGCAGGCTCCGAAGTCCCCAGATCCTGTTCCTCCCTCTGAGTTCGTCGACTCCCGACCTCCTAGCGCTCAGCTCGAACTGAGCGCGCTGACCATTGTCACGGAGAAGAGAAGAGTCTAGGAGCCGCAGACCCCGGACCCGCTCACAGGAGATATCGTCGCGTCCCTCACGGGCATCGGTCGTAATAGACAAGTTCTTGCTTTTACTGAAAGAGGAAAAAAACGATGATCCCCTCCTCTCTGTTTGCTGAGACGGTGAGTTCACAGAGTTCCCTGTCACCTCCCTGATCGATTTTCGATTCTACGGCTCGTCGTTGCCGAACAGAGTCAAGGAACGAGAAGGAAGGCGTCCAACCCTTCCAGCGAGAATTTTTTTCCGAGACAGGGACGAAAACCGACGAGGCTGAAGCCAAGAAGAGTCGACTTCCAGGATAGGTTGTTTGTTTTCCATTGCAACCTGAAGTGACCGTCTCTGATGCGGCGATGATTCGCCCGGTTTTTCGGAATTCGTCGGACCTCGCAGCCGTCCTTGTCGGACCCAGCCATCGGTCAGTTCGTCAGTCGGTCGGAGTATATCGACGGAAGACTTCAATAGATCCGTTTTCGGAGTTTGAGTCTTCGGAAATTCGCTCCGAGAGGGTTCCTGCTGCTAATAATCAATGATGACTGATACAGGAATAGCCTATTGAGGCTCGTATCAGCCGCAATGTGAATAAAACATTGGTAGGCGGGGATTCTCATGCATGAGGGACGAAGAAATTTCTTTTCGGCCCGCCAATTCTCTTAATAAGGAATTGACAAGGACGAAAGGAGCCTCCTTCGGGGTTTCTCCTACCGGTCTGGTCCGGTAGCTGAAGATTTAACTCTGCCGCGGCATGTGAACGATAAGGGGGCATAGTGATGAGCTCAGGCACGCCGGCGAGAGACGGAAAACGGTTGAGCGTACTCGGAGCGAGGAGTAGGCTGTAGCGCTCTCTAGAGCCCGAGTTCAACTTTCCGAGAGCGTGTTCAAGGGCTGAATTGCTTTTCATGCAAGTTATTCCTCCTTCCCTATCATTATCGAGATTATCAAACTTCATCGTATGCTCCACGTCGACAACATTCCAGCGGGAGAGTTTTCATCAAGCTGAATTGACGGCGAAAATCAAGGATTCGCTCCAGAGAATATCCCATCAGTCTCGAAATTCAGCTCACGGGGCACGATTCGAGAGAGGAGAAAAGTAGGATTCGTTTCGGCGGCGCAGAGCTCAATTTCTTTACGCTTTGCTTTTGCGCCGCCGCGAGAAGACCATTCTCCCGCAGGCGCTCGGAATAGGTTAATTGAAAGGACGTGCGCGCTTTCGCCGTTCCCGGAGCTCGTCTCGAGCGATCGTCGTTGACAACGATGTCGGGCGCGGCGTTCCCATCAGCGGAATCTCTGATCTGAGAAGGTCAATTTCAGAGATCCTCAAAAGAGAAGCGAGTCCGCTGCTCCAATCTCGTTCAGACCGATAGTCTCCAGCGTCTCTTGTCCTTGGGACCGTGGGCGGCAACGTCCAGGACGCCCATGATGGTGATGATGAAACACGATACTACCTTGGTTACTGGATTGCTTTCTGGCGACAAGCGCAAATCGAGCTTTTCCCCATCCACCCGAACCGTCGAGAAACCGGATACTTCCTCAAGGATTGCTGTCCCACCAACAGCGAATTGAAGAGCCGGGGCGGGCTACTTCTCGCGGGCGCCGAGGTCCCGGAAAGAACAAAGTCTCGTCGGTGTCGATTCGCTCGTGCCCCTCCCCGAGACCACCTGTCTCGACAAGAATAAGCTGTTTTTGAAGGCTCGAGAGTCCAGCACCGATTTATAGGAAATGGCGAGAGCGGAGACGATCGCCGTTCCGGGATCTATCCTCGGGAGTCGGTCTCTTCGGAATAAAAGAACTACTTCGCGGAAAACTGCCGTATGCCGGGCGGCTAACGTCGTTACAGAAACGGGAGCCGGCGGTCGACTGGACTGCCGCGAGCAGACAGGCAGGCCGGCGCGAGTGGCGTCGGTCCTGCACAAACGCATTGCCCGCGGGCAAACATGTACATCAAGCATCCGAACGCCCCGCACGTAGGTAGATTTAGACGCCGCGCGTGCGCAACAGGAACTACGGCCTATTCCCGTCGGTTGTACGGAATCCACGCAATCCGGAATATCGAACAGCATTCAGAAGCATCGTATATCGAGCTGCGAGCCCAAGATTCCCCGGAAGACCATTCGCCGCGACAGAAAGTAATCACAATCTCCGGTGCCGCCGAATAGGCATCTCAGTGGAACCCGGTACTTTCGCAACTGCGCGACGTTTGACAGAAATTCGCTGTCGTACAGACGACGACACCACGTCTCCAGGTTTTTTGATTCGACGACGTGGTAAATGCGCTCATGTTAGCTCGTTTGCTCATTTGTACGCTAGCGCCCATGCGTAGGACTAGTCGATGGACGTAGGAGGGTCGGAACATCAGAAAAATGCTGGAACGGTCGTTGTTGTCTCCGCCAATGCCGCCCCGGGACCGCAGATTAATCGCTTTGCGCGACTGCCCGTCCGCTCATTCGTTCGCTTGCTTGCTCCCTGCGAAGCAATATCGAGATTTTTCTGATCCCGTTCGGTGCTGACGCTTGCAATTGAATACGTCACCCAGCGCACTCACTCGCTTGCTCAACCCTTCGTCCAATCTCCTATTCAGTCGGTCTCAAGCCGGCCACTCTCAGTCAGTGATTCGACCGGTCGGCCCGCTCGTCCGTCCGTCAGTTAGTCAGCCTGCCGGCCTGCCTGCCACTCACTTGTGAGCCATTCACCCGCATCCTCACGCAAAGCCCGACAGCCAAATCGTCGCCTAACATGAACTGCAATGGCGCAATATCGGTATATTGCTCGTTGACAAGGAGCTGGAACGCCGCCGTCCTTACAAATAAACTCTTGAATTTATTATCACAGAAAATTAATTGATCTTCACCAAGTGACCTCGATTATACTTTCGATCGATTCGAGTCGATTTCCGAAGGTTGAAGCACACACCGAATCCCGGTCAAGCCGTATCGAAAGGGGCTTGCGATCGAAAGAGCGCGGGTCGGCGAGCGGAATACCCGTGCTCTGCGAAAGATCTCTCGTGGAATCCGATTCCGCGGGAGAAGGCGGCGCTGACTGCCTCAGCGAGCCCGGTCCCGGGTTCCGATGTCCGATAGGATTCGGAAACAGATAAGTCCTGCGTGGCCAAGCATCATACATAGGGAGCGCGTTGGTCAAGAGATTCTCCTCGCGCGAATGATGTGCGCCTCTCCAATATGTTACTGTGCAAGTCGCCGGGTCTTCGCGCGATATCCGAACGCGTGGAAAAAGCGATCGTCTGTGAGCCAGATTGCTCGAAATCCCGATGTTGCCATGGAGCGGTTTAGCGACTCTTGGTGTTGGATAGGGAATTCTAAAGACTTGTGCCCTGCTGGCCGACGGATGACAATATTGCCGGATTCCGTGACGGTCGCATTGATGGCGCAGTTATTCACGACGGCATTGTCGACCTCTGGCATTGCTCCGTGATATCGATTCCAGAACCACCGGGGAGAACGTCGCGCTATGGCAGAATGGCGGGGATAACACTTATTTGTTTGAGCAGAGAATTGAGAGTCTCGTGTGTAGCAGCAACGGCAGCAGCTGAAGGCAGCTGCGAAAGGCGTTGATCATTGATTCGTTCGCGAGCTTTCCGATCGAGCTCACCGTGAAGCTTGTCCTTCAGTCGAACACAGCGCGAAACTCCAAACAACGGACTGTGGAAACGTCAATCCCACAGCAGGCCGCAGAAAACTTGCCAGAGGCGGGTTCGCACCTCTGTGATTCTGCTGGGCTGTGACACGCGATTCAAATCCAATGAATGCGCGGAACTTTTGGCCTTGCAATATAACGCGTAAGCCACCAATCAAATGCGGGAGGGAAGGAGAGCTTTTCAAAACTCCCAACACGTAGCGGAAGACAGGGGAACACGCGAGAGGGGAAACCGAGCGGGAAGAACAAGGGGAGGAGCGCAATAAACGAAGGAGCTTGCTGAGCAGCGTCGAGCGCAGGAGGGGTCTGGAAAACTAGAGAGCGTCCGCTAGGAGTTGGGGAGTGTACCGCGGAGAGCTCCTTCAGAGACTTCATTGCGGTTGGGAAACTTCAGCGGAGCTACAGCCGCTTGATTAGGTCCTCCGCTCCGCTCATCAGCCTGAGGGGAGTCCAGACCGAGACTTCGTTCATATTTCACGTCTCTCGCGTTTCTTCCTTTTTATTTTGCGAACTTCCCGATTTCCCCGGTGGCTCGCTCCAGCCCGCTCGTAGCATGCTGTCGACGCATGCGGCGCCGAAATTGAGACGTGAAAATCACCGAATTCCGCGAAACGTCTTCCATTCGAAGGAAAGGGGGAAACGGGACGAATCAAGTCGAAACGCCCCAAAAGTCAGTATTCTCGACCCTGCCGCGAACGCATCCCTCAGCCATCCGGCGCTGACGTAGCAAGTTCCCTCCGGCCGCCCGGACTGATCCGGGAAGTCGGAGCCGGTCATCAACGAAATTCGCCGGCGAGAGAGGATGAGCCGGAGCCGAGCGACGTCGGAGAAAGTTGACTTCTTTAGCGCGTTTTCGCCGAGACCGTCGGCGTCGTCGGGATAAGTCGACACACGGACTCCGCTCCAGAAGTGTCGCACCTGAGCGGCGTGCCCAGGGCAAACAAAGTTTCCTACTGCGGCTGTTTCCGCTCGCCGTGGAGGCTCCGCAGCCTATGACGACCATGCAATGAAACGCGTCCGCTACAAAACCCACCGAGTCCCTTGCTCGAGCCTAACTATCCCGTATAACAAGCGTCGCGAGAAAGCCACCGTGCGAAGACGACTTCAGGAAGAACGGGACGAAGAAGGAAGGCTCATCCTCTTCCCCAAGGCGAACGTGCATCGAGCTGCAATTTACAGCACGGTCTCCGAGCCCCGTGTCGTTTCCTTTTTCGCGTTCGGTTTCCTCGTCCCCATTCTGTTCCCTCGTCCTTCTCCCGTTTCCCCGGTCATGGAGGGGTCGAACAGGACGAGGAGGCCGGGGAGCGAGGAGAGAACCCCTTTCGTCGGGAGACAAGTGTCTGCCGTGAGGCCAAAGCATCAAATTGTCGGAACGCCCCCGCGGGGAACGCAACCGAACGCCCCTCGCCGGCTCGGAGGACAATGAGCAGAGGGGGGTGAGAACATGTCCTTGTTCGCCTTCCAGAGCAGCTCGGATGTGTTGCTGGCGCCCGATGGGCCGCCGCTATCTCTTCAAGGCTATCTCTATTGCCAGCGTTATCGTTAGCTGCTTTTACATAGCTCGGGCGTGGATACGTGTCTTGCGGAACGCTCACTTTTATGATCCGCTATCTCCGAGCGGGCGCGAAGAAAAATAATGACGAATCCGAAGACTCGACAACAGATTGCCATAGGAAACTCGCGGAACGCGAGAGCTCCCGCGTCTTCGTCCAATCAGGAAAGTCCGGGCTTCTTTCCTCGAGAACCTGACGTTATCGTCGCTACACCTCCTGCACAGTAGCTACCTTGCTTTTTTGACGCTGCCCTTACAGTCAGGAGACCATTGTCATTGTCGTCGTTGTTGATGTCGCGGCGTTCCCACGGCTCGCAACCATGCGGATGTCTTTATTCTCCTTTCGGCCGTATTTGCCTTGCGACGACGTAGCGCTCCTCCCCGTTCTCCTATCTGACTGCTGGCGTCTTACGTACGGTGTCGCAATATCCATAAACAAACGCCGTCCTGCGTTCTTAGCCCGCTGCGCGGATACCTTCGGGTTGGCGCTCCCCGCGTACTTGCACCATGCCAGTCGAGGAGGTTTCCAGACTGTCACTTGCAAGGCGACGGTTTGGTCGACCATGGCTAGCTGCGACGATATGGGAAGGAAGAGTCTGCCCGAACCCATATACGTACATAAGTACTCCTGAAGAATGTCAGTCCCGAACACTCACCAGTCCTAATTAGCTGGGATAGCCTCTGCATGTACGCAGCGTTCCTCAGATCCGGATACGATCTCTCAGGAGCATGTGTTGCAGCCTGGAATCGTGCGTGAATATTTCGCTGGAAAATTCCAGGTGAATCTGCGAAAAGTTTCCGGGAAAATTTTCCCCAAAAACTCGAAATTGAATTATCCCTTGGAAAAATCAAGGCTGCTCTGACGAAAAAGATCCGAGGATTTCAAGGAGTCGCATACCTCAGTTTCTCTGAGACTCGACTCGACAACAATAGAGTCATCCGCTTTTCGTCGAGTCTTGAAAGAAGAGTCAAGTCGTTCGAACGCACTCGTCCCCGTGGAGACGGAGCGACGAGCTTCAGCAAGAGAGATAGACACCTCGTTGAGCGCAACGAATGAGCGCAGGCAGTGATTGGCGAATAAGCGACAATGCACCGTTCTCTGCGCCGTGCGACGTATAATAGGCGCTCGGAAAACTCCTCTCCCGCTATTCCCGTGTGCAGCACCCTCGCCGATTACAACCTGTCAGATATCTGGAGGTGCTCATAACTGGATGTGCCGGGCAGTCGGGAAAGAACTTTTGAGTCTGTTGTCGAGGGGCGTTACTGCAGAAGGGGTCTCGGAGGGGAGTGAGGGCAGGACATCATTCTCACTTTGTGGCATTGTTTCCATTGGTCGTGTTGACGTTGTCGCTCCTGACAGCGCGGTAGCCCTTGTCGTTGCTACTGTCATCGCTGTTGTTGTACTTGTTGTGTTTTCTCCTGCCGAAGTCATCAACGTCGCAGTCGAGGTCGCTTTTGGCCGCCAAGGTCTTTCACAGGATTCTTCTTTTCCTCGAAGCTCAACAAAGAAAGAATGCGGTAGTCTCCGATCCCGGTGCCATCCTTCCGAGAATCCAAGGCTTCGGAGGTCTTTTCTCTACTTTTTCCCCTGCAGATATTCCCTCGCAGGACGTAGCTGCCGATGCTGAATCGTGCATAGTTCCCCCGGCGACGGCATATCCGAGCCGCGTTATTGTCCTTACGGGATCGACATCCAAGTTTTATTCGAGCTCCCTGTGTGTACAGTTCACGAAGAAACAGACGATGCGCAGAACAACAACCGACGGCTCCGACAATAAAAAACAAGCCCGCTTCGTTCCTTAGCGCTGCCATCGCCCGATCGAGAATCCAGCAACCAGCAGCGGGCGAGTCCCCAGACGGGCGCAATCACGAACGAGGATGCGCCCGCTGGTCTTTTGTTTCGCCGCGCGGACGCTGCAACTCTGATAGCCACTTGATATCTCTTCCGAGAGGAGAGAGGGACGTTCCGTACTTTACGATGAACAAACCTCCTCTGGCGCGGCGGGAACTTTTCCCTCATTCACTCCTGGCATGCTCGTTTCGAGTCACTTCCCAGAGGAACTCCGCGAACGCTGAAGAATGAGGAGATTCATTGCCGGAACGTTTTTTGTTTTACGTCGAATCAGTACTTCGAGTGGCAAGCAGTCGCAGCGGCGACTTGCGATGAAATATCGACACTCTCAGAATCGACAGATCCGTCAGAGGAACGTTTTTTCCCGCGCTGCCACGTCGGCCTGCTCCCCCAAGTTCAGTCGTTTCGTGTTGACTAACAGCGTTTTCTTTTCCTCCGCAGGTTTTCCGAGTCCGGCTTCTGCTGCGGCGATGTGGCGGACGCCCATGGCCACGGCGTTGCCCTTCGGTACGTTTCCGCCGCTGTTGGCATCTCCAGCGCCATGTGCCCAGCTTCTGGCTGCGCAAGTCGCTGCGGCGGCCGCCGCGGCCGCACCCCCGGTCTTCAGGAGGAATACTTTACCGAACCAGGCCGGCAACAGATTCCGCGCTGAAAGGTCAGTCGGAGCGTCAATCAATCTTTTCATCTCAATTCAGCTCTGCTCCATGATAGCGCAGTGAAGCGCTAGGGCATTCGATAGTTTCGAGGCTCGGATTCTTGGGAGATAGCGAGAGGAGAGCTAGAAAGTATATCGGGAGGAGGGAGAAAGCTGTTTCCCGCTTCCTGTGCCGTCCTCCGGGGGTTTCGCACGCGGGTTGCCGCTTCTATCAGATACATCTGCGTTTCTCGTCTTGCGATCACCGCCACATGCTTCGGAACATCGCTTAGAAATTCTCTGTAACGTCGGCGGTCGTTCGATAGAGAGTGCACCGCCGACAAGAGTTGGACGCAGGCGATGTTCTACGCACTCCTGCTGATATCGTGGGCTTGCTCTCCTTCGTGCCCCCGGTCCGACCCTGGATCGTGCCTCCGCCGTTAGCTTGCTTCTTCCTGCGCGGTCGGAGGAGCATCAACGAGGGTCTACTTGAGGCTGGCGCCAGCGAGTCCATTGAGTGCTCGCAAAACCTTCCTCCGATGGCGGCGCTACTGCTGATACGTCATACCCGGCGACAGGGGCTGGATGCCGCGATCACAAGTCATTCACAATGCGAGCTTCCCACGTTCACGTAACTCTCTCTCGCGGACGGCTTGTCGAAGAGAACGCTGCTCGCGCATTCCGGATGACTCGACGAACAGGGACGCGCGGATTCCATTCAGTGCGCAGCCTGTTTGCTTTTGCAGCTGCAATCGCCGCTCAGGCCTATTCCTTGCTTTTATGGCCTGGTCATTTATCAAACGATGCTCGCTCCGCGCTTTCTGCCTCCTTGCGTGGCGAGGACACCGAGGCTTCTGGGAAAACGGCTCATGTTTCATTTTCCTGCCGCAGGAGTCCACTCTGCTCAATTTCAGTCCCGATCTCGGTTTTCTCTTCGACGTAGCGGCGCCGGCAGCGAACAGGTCGGGACCGAGGATCCGGCCGTGGAACCGCGGCGGACAGACTCCACTGTTCGAGCTACTTGACAATTAGTCTACCGGAATTCGATTTAGTCGCACGTAGCTCCGACTCCCCGAGCATTCCCCGGATCCGGGCCGAGATCCAATACGAGGACGGACACGCATCGGTCCCTCAGAATACCCTCGCACTAGAATACACAGTTCGCGGGTACACAATCACTTGTTCACTTTGCGAGAACAAACCAGCGATTGCGTCGGATGAAATCTGCTCGACTCGCCGACGGGGTCCGCTGCCGCGCTCGCCAATCGCGTATTCATAGAGCATTCAATCTAGTTAGCCGGAGTCATGTTTACATTTTCTCCAGGCCAAAAAGCGGAATAATTGATTTGGAAAGCCCGCGAAGCGATTCGAGCTCGGTCCGGAATGACTTGAGCGACTCCCTTGCGCGGCCCCGAGGAATCAGGTTTCGGGATCTCTTGAGCGAGAGCGAATCCGACAGAATGGATCAGATTGACGAGTCCGCTCCGGAAATCTCTGGCCGAGAAGCTTGTGGGGTCGTCCCCGAGGTGGACGAGAGCGGCCGAGCGATCGGTACTGTTTGTGTCAAAGCTCAGATGACGGTGGACACAGAGTTCGGACGGCCTTCCGGTGGACGTCATGGGACAGCTGTTCCGACATGTGGAACATAGTCAAGACGGAGATCGATGTCAAAACAGAGCAAGCTCTAGTCCGGGTGCTCACCGTTGTCAGACAGGCAATCCCCGGGAGAATTTGCGGAGCTCCGTCGACGTTCGGGAGGCTCAAGAAATTCCTCGCTCGCAATTCCAATTGTGGGATCGGGACGTTTATGTCGCTTCGACATATATGTCGAACGCCTCGTCCCTATGACGCGCAGATTTTCATATTGCAACGAGTTCTGGTCGATTCCATGAACCGCCAGCGAGCGAATGATCGGATCGACAAGCGACTGACGATCCTCATTCTCGAATGTTTGCACTGATATGGGCCGCCATGGGGACCCTCAGACGAACACAGATACCAATGGCTCCTCATAGACTGCGCTCAGAATCGAGCGCACCTGCGTTTGTCGCCAAGTACGATCCCATGCACGGGCAGCGCATCGCATCCCGATGGCGAAGTGCTCGGAGACTAAGAAAGTGCGAGATGCTTGCCGAGCGAGGAGGAAGGTGCATAACTGATGAAAGTGTTGAAGCCCTCTGACCCACGATACGGCTCGGTGGAACGGCTCTGCCATCATTATTATTCGCTAGCTCGCGTTCGGGGCTCTAGCCGAGAACAATTCCCGCGGTTTCCCACATTCTCGATGGACTGTTCGGTCCGCTGACCGGCGGCTCCAGAGCGATCTCTCAGACACTACGGAGCAAGCAAGCGAGCTCAGATGGGAGAAACTTACTCGAAAGCAGTGGGAAATGCCCCTGGATGAAGTCGAAAGAAAATACGAAAGCTCCAGACTCCGCCGATCTATTACCGTGGGCTTCTGAGAGGGGATGCTGTGCTGTGTCGACGTTGAAGTCTACAGCGAGCGGCATCTCTATGAGGCAAGCGACGAGTCTCTGCTGCGATGGGAAAAGTCGGCTATTCGAGTCAGCCCTTTTCACGCTTTTGTGTGGCGTACCGCTCCGGATTGGTCCTCCTCTTCTCTCACAGATATTTTTGGCTGATGCGCCCTGCGCAATTTGTTTTCGCTCTCCCTCAGACAGCGGTTGTCATTTCAACTTCGGCTAGAAGCCTCTTCAACTACTCCTTTTGAGCCGATACGGCTGCTGCGTCGTCACCAACCTGGAAGTCCTCGAGAAAACGATTTGCTTGAGCCTCCCGAAAGGGGTGTTTGTCAGAGTCGATTGCGGGAGTTGTTTGCTTGCGTCCTACGGCTTCGGCGGACGACCTTCTCGTCTGGACGAGCGTTCGACGATCCCGAGTCCTTCCGGGGACAGCTTCCGATCGTACGTAAACTTCCAGAACCGAACGCTCACCCCATCGGATCCTTGGCAGCTCCCGCCGATGATTTATGATTATCATCATTTATTACCCCAGTTGATTCCCCGGACCTCGCTGATCAGTTCTCCGGAGATTCCACGGATCGTCTGTTCCTCGCTCACAAGTCCATCTGACCTCGATCCGATCAGCTGATCGTCTCTTACGCCGGGACGCTTCAGAAACCAGCGATAATGAATTAATAAATTGATGGATGACCGTTCTAAAGAATTATTCCCTTCTCTCCGACCGCAGATGGACTCCATATTCAACGTCGTCCCCAAAAAGTGCTAAGCCGGCAACTCCGTCTCCGGCTTCGTCGGCGACACCGCCACAAGAGCTTTTCGAGGCCTCCGTCGTCGACGTTGAAGATCTCCTCGCGGATTCCGCAACTCAACTGGAACCATCAAAACCACCGACACCCTCCGACCCTCAGGCTTCGAACGCTGGCAACGGTGAGTCGAGATACAGCTACCTACTCCTTGACGCATTCGATGGGAAGACGTATTCGTAAACGTAGATTCTGTCGCTCAGATGTTTGCCCACGAAGTGCGTCACCCGACGAAAAACATCTCGAGATCGATGGGGGCTTCACTGTGCAACCGATTGGGTGATTTGAAAGACTTCGGCGACAGTCGCTGATCGCTAATATTATGATGAGGATAATTATAAGTGGGAGAACGGATCGCTAGAGATATTCTCGAAACCGGCTGAGTCCGGAGCAGGACTGAGGAGAATAAGGAAAGCTCGCCTCGGTGATCCTCGATGGAGCAAAGCACAACTCGGCTTGGTTGTCTCGAGGCCGCATTCTATTTCCCTGAGAGGGTTTCGGCCACGGTGTCGCCGTCCGCCGCATGTCGGCACCGAGGGAACCGCCGCCGCCGCTACCGTTACACCTTGCTATCTTCTTTGCATCCGAGAGGGAAAAAAACTCCTCTTACCCTAATGTGTGGTTCGGCGTTCGTTGGAGATAAAACAACCGGCTACAGCGGACAGTAATACCGGAGCTAGTTCCTCCGGATTGCCCAAGGGATAACGAATTCGGTTGAGAGGACGCCCGACTAGGAGACCCAAGGCTAATTGTGTGTTCCACAAAAACCGACAGACCGCCAAATGAACTTAACCCAATCCCCAGCGAGCGTCCGTCCGTCATTCGCTCCCAACGCCAACGCTCGACACGCTACTCCCTACTGCGTAAAACGTGGTTGTTGCTCTATCAAATTGAGAAGTGTCTCCTCAGAAGGGGAAACAATCCACCGTGAGCTCCTCGACCTCTCCTAGGAATCTCCGGGACGAGTATTCTCACACGGTCGTCTCGTGCGCTCGCGTGCGTGAAGTGCTCGCACGCGAACGTTTGAAGTTCTTTCTGTTCTGCTTCTTGTTCTCGAGCGGAAGGCCCTCCTTACCCCTACGGCCTGTCAAGCTCGCCTGTTTCACTGCGCGCAGACGGAAATGGCATACCGTAGGTAATTTCGTTATGCGCTCTACAAAGCAGCAAACCTCACCAGGCCGAGCCGACCGCCGACGACGACGGAACGAGTGCTGGATCTGACTGCAACTCGCACTGCACAGACCTAGCGAGCGAGGGGAAAACGAGCCAATGTCCTGTTTAATCAAGCAAACGAGCCTCCTTGGAAAAGAAGATGAATGATCACCGTCGGACCCGGTCGGGGGGTCCGCTGACGAGACCCCCGCCCTGTGAGGGCGAATAGGGTCCAGTAGATCGATCTGTGTGTGAAGCGCTCGATCGGTCGCTCCATTGTGGAGTGCCGGATGAATTCGAAGAATTCCTAACTAAGACGTTTCGGAACACCCAAGAGTGATATGGATTGAGCATTGGACTCGCCATTCTGGCACGAACGTTCCTTCCGAGGATCTCGTTCCGGCGGCGCGGCGTTTTGTTGAAATCGCCCCTACGTCTAAACGGGCCGAGGCTCGGCCTCTCGAGGTCGATTCGAAAGACTTTCCCGCGCACGCGTATTCGGGCTCTTCATGCGTTTGGACGCCGCGCTCGACCGATCTCAGCGAATGAATTCCATCGCTCTCCGGGTGGCGTTGGGTTTCTTCCAGCGGAAAACTGGAAGCCCGTGGGCGTCCCTGATCCCCGATGCAGGAGGAGTTTATGCCTCGTGATCCGGCTCAACGTTGGCTCTCCTCCCGATTTCGATGCTCAGCCTCCGGTAGCTGTGTAGCACCAGCAGTTCTCCGCCAGAGATGCGGATGAATTCCTTGGAGGTTTACAGAGAGGCTCTGTCATCTTTGACGCCCTGTCGTTCGAGTACCCAAGAACAGCTGTGAGCCCCCACCGCAGCTGTGGTGGAAAAACTCCTCGTTGCCGCTGGACGAGGCGGTAATCAGATCAAGAACAGCTCCTCTTCGCTCTACACGCGGGCTCACTGGATGCTTCTCTTATCCGTCTCCTACTCTGCCTGACTGGCTGCGTAGTTGCAACCTCTGTGTGTGCCGTAGTTATTCCCCGAGACGTCCTTCGTCGATCCCGGAGTTCCTTCCGGGGACGCCTGGTCATGCCGCCGCATGACGGAAGAACCGTGGCGCCAGCGACGGCGGCGGTGAAATCTTCAGCCTTTTGGCGTGATGGATTGATTACAAAATGTTGGCGGCTTAATCCGTCTCACGATGTCACTGTCGGCGCGCGAGCGAAGGGATGAGGGGAGCGAAAGGCCGTCTGGAATGAGAGCAAAACCATCACGGCTCAGAGCCCCGGGCGTTTGACGCACCGTCGCATAGGAGCCTTTCCCTCCCTGAGGACGAATTCTAAATTCGGCTGGTCTCTGTGATTCCGGAGCACTTGATCTCTGAGCTACGGAAGCCCCCGAGCACGAAAACTGTACTCTCAATAATAACGTGAACGACGTTGCGCAGACCGAGGGAGTCTTCGTGAGAATGCCTCGCGCGTGTTTTTAATAGCCATCGAATCCATGATTGGATTTGTGTGTACCCTGGCCGCGGGCAAAGTGTAGATGTCTCTTCCGAGTCACATCGGTCTGTCAGGAGCGGTTGGCGGCGCTACTAATGAACACCGGAGATAGTCGACGCGAACCGTACGAGTAGAAATCGTTGAACTATTTCGACGTTACCGTCCCTCTGAACGAGCGCGCGGCCCGCACTTGTTCATTCTTCGGGGGAATTTATCGGTATCAAGAGACGGAAGCGAGTATTGTTAGCTGTCATTGAATCCTTTCCTCGTAATGGAATCGCCCCCAGTCCATATTCCGCTTCGACTCTAAAAAAACAATGGGCTCGCGGAGGTCGTATCGACTTGGTTATCGCCGCAATCCCGCACAGTCAGCGGATCACAAGCCTAATGAGCAATCCATCACAGGGCTGACATCCGTGACTCCATCCGAAGCTCCATCGGTCGGGTGGCCGGTGGCTTGTTTGAATTCCAGTTCAGTCAGAGAGCCCTCGCAATAAAGAGCTCCGCAGCTTCGAAACGTCGGGCGAGCTTGAGGAATCGTCTTAGACTCGAGCCGACGTCCTATGTCGCCGGAAGCAGACTCGGCCCGTCAATTGGTAAATTTGTGCGTGACGTAGTCTATTCTGGCCATGTTGCCTCGTTTCCAGAATGGCCACCATGGGGATAATAGAAGTTAGCGATTAGTGGGTGGGAAGAGCTTACTCGGATATTGCGTGGACAACGAGAATAGATCCACGGCCTTGTCACCGAGGGAAGGAAGACTCTTCATAGTAACGTGTAGCCGCGGCCGATAGTCGCAAAATCATAATTACCTAATGCCAAGAACAGTTCAAGTACACCGACCGATACCGAGAGCGTCTGGGTACAGACTTATGGGCATGCCCCGTCAATGCGGACGTAGGTATGCCCAAATGTGGATTCGTGTTTTTCGGGCCGATTCGAGCTCTTTGCATTCGCTCTCGTCCCTCAAATCGGCACGGAGGGCCGAAACACATCGCTCGGTAGAGAGTAGACGCTCCCGGGACAGGAGCTTGTCTCTTTCGCATGGGTGCCACGTCAAACGCAACACGTCTGGAGAACGCCGGCAATAACCGATTCCGCTCCAGAAGTTCCTCTGCACCTCTGTCGCCCGAAATGGAATCAGTATCCCTAATACCGGTTGACAATTCGAGGTCTGACGTTGCTTGTGAGACGTGTACTGAAATCACGTTCCGTTCTCATCCATTACAGATGCCTCATTGAGTCCCCAGTCTCCATCTTCGGAGAAAGCTCCACCGTTGGCACCGTCACCCTCTGGAGGTGCCTCATCGCCTCTCAGCGAAGGACAACAGACTTCCGGCTCAATTTCAGGTCAGTGCGAGATCGCTCAGGACTGTTTTCGATCGCGCGTCTCCAAGCTTCATTCCACGGCTCGCGCGGCAACGTCGACGGGGGATGTATTCTCCTATATTGCAGCGACTATATTCACTTCCCGAATGTTCGCTGTCTACGATCCCTCGATCTCTCGAAGTACTTGCTCGCGGTGCATCTGTGACCGTCAATCGATCCTATCATCCCTCGTTTAGCCCCGTCGTAGAATTTCCCGCATCATATCGGAGAGATCGGGAAGATAAAGAACCGGGCGGAATCGAAATCCGTTTCGAGCTCCCTCATGATTTTTCTAGACACGATCGGGTGCCCGTCGGTTCTCTCAACCTTACCCTTCCCCGGAGTCCCCGACGGGGTCTCCTAATTCTAAGGCTCGCTGGGAAGGGTGCTGAATGCGATGAAACGGCGGAGACCATCCGATTTCCCCACTCGGGGGTTCGACGAAATGGTTTTATTGTTCCGTCGTCCCTCACTCGTCTAGTGGGAGACGTACGATTCTCGGCCGGGGGACAGGGGGGGGGGGCACCCTATCGAGTTTTAGCGCAGGAGATGCTTCGTCGACTTGGTTTCAACGTCGGATTCGATTTCAGGCACTTGTGGATTGACCGACCCGTGCGCTCGGATACCATCTCTGAGTGACTTGATGCAGCCGTTGTACTGCAAAGTCTGCGACGCAAAGCTCAACGGGAGACTGCAAGCCTCCGCGCACTACGACGGGAAGAGTCACCATAGGCGATTGAGACAGTACCTGGAGAAAGCAGGTCGTGCCACCGATCTCCAAAAGCTCAAGGAGCTCCATCAGCAGAAAAAGGTCGGGATCTCAGCTCTCCTATTCCCCGACGGGTCCTCTCCCATCCCGGCTATCAATGAATTTCGCTTTGCTCCCTCGAAAGCAAGCTGACGGAGTCTCAGCTTAAGATTGCCCATAGGTTTAATCCTGCGCTCTTCAGTTGAGCATTGATCTTTGGAGCTTCCCCCTTCTCCTCTGTTGTCGAATCATTACTCACTCGAGCGTCTGTTACATCTCCCGCAGCTCGAGAAGAAGACTTCGGGCAGTGACAAGTTGGAGGAAAGTTTTTGCAAACTCTGCGACGTGGCCTTCACATCCGACGTTCAGGCCAAACAACATTACGCCGGGAGAAATCACCAGCGAAGGCTCCGAGGAGAGCCGCCCCTGCCCAAAGGATTCTACAATCCCGTCACCGGAAAATGGCAGAGACAGTACGTTACGGTTTCCTTAGATTAGCTTCTTTAGACGCCTTTCGGCGGGAATTTTTCCCCGTCCTCGTCCGGATTCTCCGAGTTCTATCCAGAAGAGCCGAACTCAGCGCTCGGCAGTCGCGCTCAGTCAGCATTCCGACCGAGCGATAGGAAGGGGGAAAATTCAATTCCGCATCGTCTCGAGTGGAAGGAACGTTTTCGCTCCGTCCTATCTCGTTTGAAAATTTTCATGCTTCCTCGGTTCGAGGGTGTTGATTTCGACTCTTCGTAGAGATTCGCTCGGATTCCCCCCCCCCCCTCGGCACTGTAGTAGGTAGCCACCTCTCACTTTATCGTCACTGGATGGAACATGCGGCTGTCGAATAAGCGGCTCTTCGTCCCTTTCCAATCCCTCTTCTTACGAGATCGTCCGCCGACAGTAGACACAGAGCCCGGTCGCGTGCGTGGGTTCACTCACTCGTTCACGCGCTCGTACGCCCTCTCGTCCGTCCGCCCGTCCGTTCGTGGCGTTCGTCTAACGGGATGACTAATGAATAAAACCACAACATTTTCCACAGACCTCCGACCGGCTTACCGTTGAAAGTGGCGACGAGCTCCGCAGGTCTGAGTGCCGGACTCGGTCATGTAGCAGCATCATCAGCGTTGTTGGGCGCGACGGCACCCCTGCCCGCAGCCCTCTTCCCTCCACCGTTGCAATTCTATTGCGAAGCTTGCAATATTGCGGTGGCAAACCAGCAACAGATGACCGCCCACCTCTCCAGCCCAGTGTGAGTCATTTTAACTTCTTCCAAAAGCAGCAAGCCGCTAGTCCTGTGCTTGCTGGAAAAACCAAAGTCGACCCCGGAGTTCGGACACCGCGAGCTCTCGGAGCTGATCCGGGTCTATTCTGGACAGTTTTCCGACCGATTCCGGGTGAGCTTGCGAGTGTATATCTCTGTGAGATTAGCCTGAAATCCCGTCCTGGGCGGGCTGTCGTCACGCAACTAGCTCCGAGATGCGTTGATATGGTCTTGCGGAGGATCGCCGCGAGAGTTTTCCGGTGGAAAAATTCAAGTGGGCTCCTCTGGAGGGAAATTCCAGAATCGTCCCGGATAAAGCTCCCGCACACAAAGATTTGGAGGGCCCTCTCGAGGAATATACAGAGGCTTCCGCTCCGCACGACCCGACGTCGAGCGCGCCGACAAAGCTCGTCGTTCCACAGTGATAGCAGGTGCTTCCGATTCGAAACCGTCTCTACAGCGGAAACTCTGACGGAGGTCTGATCACGAACTCTGGAGGCTTACAGTCCGAGCTCTGGTTCGGCTTCTAGCAGCCGGTCCGGATGTTCTGAATCCCTTCAATTATCGACTTCCTATTTCATCCGAGTGCAGACCATGCCGGCAGTTTATGTCGACGACGTCCGGAAACATCGAATAAATTCTCATCGTTGCAGAGCAGGGCTCCGGAACCTATCGACGTTCTCTGCAGAGCTTCAATCTTATCTGTCTCCGAGATAAAGCAGAAAATAGTTGGAACCAGCTGAGAGATCGGGGAGCAAGTCTCGGACGGGAAGCGGGTCGTTCCCGCGCTCTATGGGAGATCCTGCGATCAGCGGAATGCAAATTCCTAAAGGGGTTCCCCGTCAGAGAAGGGGTACAGCTGCGAAAATCGTACGATTCCTTCATCTGACAGAAAGCTCCGTTTTACTCTGAGAGCGCATTTCGGTGAACAACCGGAAGCCAGATGAGTTCCAGAGCGCTCCTCATTCGCGTCGGGATGAAACCGGCTTGGATCAGCAAGAGATATCTACGTATAGAACGTCGGCCTTGGGCCGACGACGTAATAGTATAGGTGCCGGGTCCATGAAAAGTCGCTCATCACTATGAAGTCTTTGTCTTCTATTTCTCAGGCACAAGGCGCGCATGAACGACGCCGCGCTCCTCGCTCCTCTGTTGGCAGCTGCGGCGGCCGCGTGCCGTCCTGCAGACGGAGGCATCATGCTTTCCCTTCATCCAGGCGGTCCACACACGCCCCTGATGTTCAACCCGCTCAACCCTCAGTACCTCCATGCTACGATGACGGCAGCTGCTGCCCCGTGTGGCACGCTGCCCGAACTATAGAGTCACCAACAAGGTAAGAACAATGCGCGCTTCAAGCGGTCGGTGGCTGGTCCTATAAAGTGACTCTCGTTCATTTCAACCTCGCTCCCGCAAAGGTTCTCTCGTAATTCACCCGAAGCTCTTTTGTCTCTGCACGTTTTCCTCGCCCTCCGGTTCCCGAAAGTTCCTGTGTGTTCCTCGGCGTTGTTTTTCCTTGTACTTTGCCGTTTGGCCGACGAAATTGCCTCTCGCCAACAGACTGGTAACCGAAAAACTTTCTGAGCGGATCGCCGAGCCTTGGAACAGAGCTCCATATTGTACCCATGTCAACACGACTTGTTTCCGGTGGAGTAGGTACATCGGATCGCGAATCCTCAACTCCCGGGAGCGTTCCATTAATCGATCGATCAGAAAATATCGGTGCTCTCCATCAGAGCGGAAATTCCAACTGTGGCATTTCGGACTCTCGCGGCTGCCCGTAGCCTCCCCACATCGAGCTGACGTTGTTTGGGGGTGTTCAGGGGTCACAGAGAAAAAATTACGACCTCCGTCATGGGAGAATATTCCTGTTTCTGAAAGCTTTCCTCTCGCCGCATGCCCTGGATAGGCTGATCGGGAGACGGATGCTCACAGGAACATGTTTCCTCCGCCCCGATGCATAGCGGGTCGACTAATTCGCTTTTTTCTATCACCGGGAGTCCTATCCTGTTCACGGTAATGAAACGGTACCGCCGGCATCGCTATCCGCGGGACATCCACAGAAATTTTGCTCCCAGATGGACGCTGGATACACATTCATGCGAGAGCGAGGGGGAATATCTGCTCCGCGGTTGATCGATCCCCGCGTTTTTAGAACGTCCTCGTATTTTCATTATCAGTTTCAGACGAGTCACCAGGAATTCAAATGATCGCAACTAACTCCCGATCCGCCTGGTTTTAGGAGGGACCATTCTGTGAGTTCCCTCGATCTGACTCCATCTGTGCGTGGACGGCAGGAGCATATGAAGCTTCCCATTGGGAAAAATGAGGCGCTTCCCGATGCTGCCTGGGTCATAAGGGGGGTGGGGGGTTTCTGAAGCGGCTCAGCCTCTCTCCTGTGCCATCGAGGTCATTCCCTCAACCCTTGGACGAAATGGTCTGGAATGATCCCCTTCGTTTCTGACTCCTCTCTGGAAAATCACGATTCAAAGCTGCGTATATTATTTTGCCCCCCCTCTAGTCAAGAAATCTCTTCTGCGTGGAGTGGCCCCGACCGCTCACCGTGGACGCTTCGATTCCCTAATTTAGAGAGCACGGACCCACGTAATGTGTTTGCACAGCCAACAGCCGAGAGATTGATATAATCTCGTTCAAAGGTCGGAACGAGCCAGTGCAGTGAAGCTGCACTTCAGCCACTTCTAGTGGTTCATAGGCTCTCGTCGGCCATAGCTCTGCCTCTCATCAGGTCTCTCGATTATCTTCCAGGACGTCGACGACGGATGCGTCCTACATCAAGACCGCGAGCGAGGAGAGCAACTCTTGAGACGAGCATGTCGAAAATCGAATGCAGAGGGATCGTGTGATACAGCATGCCACTAATCTCCGACGGATCAGTCTATTCGAGAAAGCCCGAGATAAAATAAGGACCGATACTAGAACAATGACCGAGACGATTTCCCTATGGATTTGAGCTCCGAGAAAGAGGTCATGCGGGAGAGAAGAGGAGGCACGGGCTCATCTCATCGCCAAGAGCGCAGAAGAGGTCGCGGCCGTGACGGAAAAACGGAATGGCCGAGCGAGCGTTAGACCGCCGTTGCACTCGTGTTCATGATGTCCACCGCGGGAGAACAGCTGCTTCATATTGGTTTCTCGGTGTTGGTTATCTCCCTATCGATTACTGTTTACCGCCCCCGTCGGCAGATACCGCAACCGTTCCCATGGAAAGTTTCCTCCTCCTCGGAAAGAGCCGTTGATGAAGTCGACCTGCCGCGGAAACTCTCTTCGAGACACGACCGCCTTCACTACGACACGTTCGACCTCGGAGCAAAATCTCAGAATCGTTTAAACATCCCGAAACTGAAGCTGCCATACTAACGAGCTGCGTAGCCCGGAGCCGTGTTCCCTGAGCCCGAGGCCACCGTTCCGAGCACTGAAACAAATCAATGCGTGATTGTGCTCGAGAGGAGCGAAGCGAGTGACTACAGGGCGAGCAGGACTCTTAGATAAACTCGGACAGAGGATGTGCAATCTTCAGCGTTCAACGTTTCGAACGAAGTTGAGAACAAACTGTCTTTCGAATCCGCCCAGGGTTTTATAGGCGGTACCCGCTCCAAATCCACTCTCGGCGGGGGGGGGAGAGGATATTAGATATCCGGGAGTTTTGTTGAAAAAACTGGGCTCGACCCCTTCCTCACCTATACCAAACGTTCTACATGAAATACTCGTTAGTTGTATTGTTCGACGATGCTCCGTTCTGAATATTTGAGCTTTACATCAGGAATCCTTCGGGCTCCTATCGCCGCTGCGGAGAGCCTCATTTCATCAGATCCTCAAACTGTTTGTGTGATGGGGGAGAATTCCGGAATCTGGAGCTAGATGGAAGATTTTATCCCAAAGCTCGAATCGCGGACTAGGAATCTCCTTCCGAATTTCCCCCTGGAAGAGGCCTCCGATCCTTTAGATGCTGAAATGACGACCCGGAGACCGGCTCAGGGCTTCTGGCCGGATGAGGTTCCAGGTTCGTGTTTCCTATTGCTCCCTGTTACTACGAACGACGCGCTGTGGCGCTGTCGGACCTGTCTGGTTGGTTTTCTCCTCGTTTGTGATACCGTGGTGGAATCAAATGGAACCTGTGCGTCTTCCTTTCATAAAAGCTCGAGTCAGAACTCGCTTGAATGATGTTTAATTGATGGAGGGACGCATTAGCCGGTTGATCCTTGTTCTCTCTTCTCTGTTGAAATCCGTAGTGTCTGTTGATTTTATGCTGTGATAGACTCGCGCCCCCAGCTTAGCTAGAGAAAGAGATCCCGTCTGTTGCTCGTGGAGCAAATTGACGAACGCTCCCATAATTACTCGAAGTCGGCGGCATAGAGGTCGAGATACGCCACCGCCGCATTGACATCGGGCGTCAAATCATTGGGGACTCGTGTTTCCGAGCGTCTGATCAAAAATGTTACCTCAAAGAACCATTGCGTCGTGCTCACACGGACATGAGCTCGTTAAAACTTGAGAGAGCTCCGACTTGGGAATCCAAGCTCGCTCCCGAAAGGAATTCCGCGGTTGTACATATTCCACAAGCCGGTTTCTATCTCGACCTCTGTATAGCAATGTTTTCAACATGTCCTACAATCAGAGACGGGATGGAATCGAGCCCTCGGTTGAGGATGTGTCGACGACAGGCCTGCTCGTGGGAACCTCCAGTGTTCCTAAGAGACTTGTGACTTGAACGAACGAACACTATTAGCCACGTTCGCTAGCCGTGTCGTCCCCTCCCTTGACCCTCAATCAGATCTTCGATCGTCGCTCAAGGATGAGTTGACGGTCCAAGAGCGACATCGACTCGCTGAATGAACGATCGACCGATTATAAATTGTTGGGAACGTCATCTTGCTCGGAGAGCAGACAGCGCATCGATGTTCGCGCTGAGAACGACATGGGTGGGTGATTCCAAAGAAAAAGTTCACTGTTGTCTCAGAGAGGATACTCGATTTATTTATCACGGATTTCGATTCAACGATTCCAAAGATTCGACGAGGGCTGCGGCGGAGAGATGACGACTGGGATCATCCCGATCCGAGTCGGGTCCTTTTCGAGCCGTTCCTCGCCCTTTTCGGGAAGAAGAGCCTGTCCGACGACACGCCATCGAGTCTTCAGCGAAGTTGCACCGCCCCCTTCAGAACAAATATACCTCTTATGAAAAGCTGATTGTGAGATATCGATCAAAATATGCGGTGTCGATCTCGCTTAACATCGCGGATTTCCTGGAGTCACCTCCGCGGGGTGATCGCGGGGAAAACTCGGGAGCGCTCAGAGTCTGAGAAGGATGAAAAACGTTGGAACGTTACCTCAGTACCAGCTCTGTGAGGTCGGCGAGGGATCTTCCCATACCCGTTCCAACTGGTCGTGAGGTTGAGTGCTTAAACTTTCGAGATAGACAGTTCGAAAGGGCAGTGTTGGTGAGAAATCATCTTGTTCCTCTGATCAAAGGTGACGTTAATGAAGAAAGTGATCGAATGCGTAGCTATAGGATTCGTTTGCATTTGAAGTGCGCGGCGGCATCGATTCTATTCAAGCCGAGCACAGTTCATGACGTCCACTAGTTAAATATATATATAATCTATAATATACTCCTAGACAAATACAATACATCGTCCGCGTCAGATGACGACGATGAGAGAGAGTTGAAGTCTGAAGGAATGCTTCTATACTGAAACAATCATTCGGAAGAGCTGGACGTTGCGGAGTGAGAATCCGGCCGACGACGCGACGTCCTACCGTCGTATGTCGGCGCAAAGAAGTCCGGCGACAAAGGGGCGACAGGATTTTCCGCGAAAACTGCGGAAACCAAGGATGTTATTCACCTCCCTCCATGAAAGTAACTACGTGACCAGGGAAAACAGTGGATCACGTTGCGACTCCCGTGAGAAACCCGATCGGATCTCATTGAGCGGGGGATACTGTATCGACGTAAGAAATGCATACATATGTCTCAGCATGGAACAAAGTAAATATTCGGAGGGGTTTTAACTATTGAAATTGTCGGATTGACCCACCGACGGAGAAGGGAACCGGGATGAGAGAGCGATCAAGTCTTCAGTGGATCGCGATCAGACTGCAATGGGCATCGAGTGCCGCTCCGTCAAACGCTGAGAGCCCTCGACTGATCCGCGACTGCGAGAAATACAAACAAAGTGGTTGTGCATAGAGTAATACTTACTAGACATGAACAAAAACCAACAAATCTGTACATGATCTACTCATTTCCACATCATCAAAAACATATGACGTTGGAATCGATCTAAACAAGGCAACATGCGTGACAGCAGCGCAGAGCTGACCTTTGGAACCTTCTGACCGTAGGGGGGCAGCGAAGACTGAACACCATCTTAGAGACGAGAGAGAAAGATAGACCGCGTTTCTCGAGTATCGCTTTCGAGCCCAATTTGAAATCTCTACGGAATACTGAATCAGTAGATCAAGTAGGAACGATCTTGCGGGCGAAACGACAAATCTCCTCCAGGTCACGATGAGGTTGAGGTGGCGACAGGCAGAGGGGGTCTTCTTATTCAAAGTGTTCTCCATTCTGTGTTCCATACCCCGCAACTGTCGCGGCAATCGAGGAACGAAACCTCGATGTAGAGATGAGACGTCGGGTAAGTCTCTGGACGGACTCCTGCTCTCCGCTATTCGGCCACCGTTGGAGGCGGGATCCGTTTCCGAAAGTCACGATCATGATGTTTGTACAATTATGAGATTAATCTTCTGTCGGATATAACAATTTCAATACGTAGATTCAATATCGACAGGGAATCTTCCGTCAACCAGTAGCGAAAAATCACCATAAGAATTATTTCTCCACATTGAGGTAGATATTAGAGTACCGACATTCGAAGATGATTTTATTACAATGATGACGATGATCAAATATTCTAAGGAAGGGGTGATTAGGATCGCCATCGATCATCATTGAATTTTGCGAGAGCGTGATCAGTGATCAGGAATGAGATACTCATACAACTACGTCGCCAGCTGAAGCCTTGATCAGAAGAAGGATGTCTGGCCTAAATCAACTCCAAATAATATATGATTGAAAGAGAATGCTGAGGATCTTCCCCTTGCTGTATACAGATAGCAAAAACTATGAGGCCGATCGATAGAGGTTTGGATGAAGAGCGATGTATGATTTCAGGGCAGACACAAAGGAGAATAACTCAAGATTACTCCGAAATAAAACGAAACTTTGTGTTCAATGAAAACGAGCAAATCGCATATTTTCCTTCTCATTCATTATTGAACCAAGTGAAAGGAAAGGTCCCGATCTTCGGACTCGATTTCATTCTCTGAGTGAGTGAAGGAACAATGAGTAAAGTACGAAACTCGATTTTATTAATCCTCCGTTCCTTTTCTTCAAATTTCTCGATCGCTGGAGCCGGAAGAAATAGAATCTTCGGTCTGCTTAAAACTGTATTCCGCCATTCGAAGATTCGGAATCGATAATACTAAAGGGACCGTTGGGACACGTTGTTTGGTTTCGCACGTCGCCGTTCGAGCTCCCTTCTGATTCCCGATAGACGAATCGCCCGTCTCGGATGGAGAGCTTCTGGTCATCGAATGAATTCTACATAATCCGCCACGCCGTCTGGATCAGGTATTTCCTTCAGGCTCACAAACGTGCAAAGATCTTCGGCGTTTCGGAAGACCAACAACCCTCAGCTTCCTGAACTGATTGAAGCTGGACCCCTCCTCCCGCAGGGACAGTCGACCCGCTGTCCGAGTTTTGAAGAATCGATTGGAATAAATACATCCGGAGATCTTTTTTCGTCCAACGTTCAACTATTGTTGATTCGTCGCAATATCCCTAGGATTCGCATATGGGCTGAGCTCGTACTCTGTCGACTGGCGCAGACAGGAGCCCGAATTTACAAAACAAAAAAAAGCAATCGGAGTTCCCCGAGGATCATCAGCTAGGAGGGGTGACCAGTACTCGACCGGAGATCAGCAGTATTCGGTTGCCTGATACCTCGCGTCCTCAAACCGCCGTACGCATCGTTCCTCCACACGATGTTTGGCGCATGGAGTGAGTTCCGAAAAGTCCGACCCTTACGCTCAATCCGGGACAACTGCATTCTTACCGGGAACAGCGCTGTCGGCTGACGCGTAGTGAGCAAGGTTTACAAGGTGAATCCAACTAAATACACACGCCCATTTTCTCAAATCATGTATGTACAAGAATATTCACCACGTCTGTACGAAAGCTACAAATACAACATATGAGTTCTTTCTGCACGGCTTAAACTCGAATTCTTCAAGTCGCTAAACACTTCGATATTTCAAACTCTAAATGTCAGATGCTCATGACGTCGATGACAGATCGTAACAAAATCGAAATCAAATATGTACCGCTATGGAAATCAGTCCTCGGTGGCTGTTCGTAGTGGCGAAGGATGATGGCGTGGTGAGTTCGTGGTGCTACCATCGGCTGTCCGCGCTGGGAGGGAGAAATTAATGAATCCACGAACGGAGGAATCGGTTTCCGTCAGGACAGTAATACTTCAACCCCGGAGAATCCAGTGGGAGGGAAGGGTCTCATAGGTGAAGGCGTAAGACCGAGTTCGCCGAGCTCTGGCAAATCAACTGCATATAACTCAAGCTCCTTACCTGCTTCTCTTCGTCGCAGTCGTTTTCGTTTCCGATCGATGACTGCGATTTCCGACTTCAAAGAGAGATACGTCTTTTTCAACTCGCATAGCCTATCCTGAATGATACCAATGCGTTCTTCCGCATCCAAATTCTCATCTGTGGACACTGAGGTATTTAGTTTAAGAAGCTTCATCGGAATCATGGCGGGATGGCAGCGCCGTTCTCCCTGCTCAAAAAAGTTCGTTTCAGACAAGAAAAATCAACGAACCTATCGGCAACAGGAAGTTATATCTCGCCGGTCTCACAGGATCGTAGTTAGGGGGCATCTGTGCGCACATCAAGCCGACATGCCGTCCTTCTCCACGCTGACCAGCGTGATGATCGGGACTGCCTCGTTCCGCACGTCGTTGACCTGCTTTTTGCCGTAAGGTCTTGCGAGTCCGTTTCATTCTCCCACGACCCGCACCTCCTAGACCACCCTTGCCCCGAACAGCCTGAAACCACAGGGAAAGACGAATCTTATTTTTTCGACCGGCTTCCGTCAGAATCGACGATCAGCCTTCAATAATCCCCACGCCACTCCGTTGTGTCATTCGCGTCCAGGATGGGCACGTCAGATGAACACGTCAGAGCAACCGAGATTTCGAATACACGAACCTTTTCTCTCTCTCTTTCAACGGCCGACGGTCTGGCAGAATCGCTGCTGTCAGCGGACATCGTACTTTCTTCGTCCACAGGTCCAGGACCCTCGGAACCTCTCGCGGACCCTTGACCTCCGACAGCGTTGCGCCTGTTGTTGGCATTGGATGGAGCATTCTGATTGCTCGCTGAAGACTGTGAATCGTCCGGGGTCGTCGGCGGCGTGACTTCCGTCACGCACGCCGAGGATATTTCAGCTCGGTTCTGAGCCGCGTCCTCCTCAGGCGCGTGAGCAGGACCGGGAACTGCGGGGAGAAATCCCGATGATTTTCTCAGTCGAGTGTTGGACGTTCGAATGGGAGAACTCGATCGATCACGCATTGGAGACCCACCGTCATTATTCTCCTGATTATTGTTGTTATTCGGAACTGGACTCTCGGGAAGAACATTCTCCTCGCATATGAGGAATAAACCCCCGGCTTGCTCGGGCTCCTTCGGGCCACAGGCGCTGGCTAGGGACGCCAGGACGTCACCGGCCGCGGCCCTTTCGGCTTCCCGTCTCTTGAGTTCTTCGCCTCGTTCTTCTACCTCGCCAATATTGTCGGCGGCTTCGACCTTCTCCTCAGAGGTTTCGCTCTCCGTATCGATATCCTTCACCACTTCGTGCTTCACCTGTGAGCGCCGTGATTGAATTTCAGCGATTCCGATATGCCGCTCGATAAGGCGAATCTCCTCCAAGCTTTTATTCCTTCTAACTAGTCGGCGGCGATCCGGCTCCGCGATCGGAGGAAAACGATCGCCCCGGTAAAAATCCGATAACATACCACTTTCTCTGCCTGTTTGAGTTCTTCCACCCGAGTCTTCTTGGCGATCACCGGAGTCGATGGAGGAGAAGGCTGCGATTCTTCGTCAACTTTATGCAAAGTTTTACGCTTTTTCGTCATGAATGACGTGGTGGGTTGATCGCTTTTCTGCTCTTTTCCGTCTTTTTCCTTTTGCTTGACCTCGTCGAATATACTCTTGCTGGAGCTCGACGGGAGCGGAGTCGCCGGTCTGTGAAGATCGATCAACAGTCGGGTTTAGTTCCTGGGCGCAATATTAGATTTACGGATAAATAGCTGCGCAGCTATGAGCCATGCATTCCGGCAGCGCACATCGTTCTTTCTCTCGTGTCGGATAGACCGTGGAGAGACGGAGGAAAAACGATTAGGTTCGGAATCTTGTTTTCAGAGTCAGGAACTGGGCATCGGAGGTACTCACTTGAGGGTTTCGTCTGCGTCGATTTTCGTCCTGTCATTGGGTTCGGGCTTCTTGACAACCTCGGCTGCGACAAGCGAGGTCTTGGGGGATTCTGTGACGGGAGATTCTTTCACCGTAGCAGGCGACTGAACCGCAGCTAGCTTCGAAGCGAAACCGCCGGCAACTTCTGGCGTCTTCCGCGGACGTTTCCTGCTGTTCCCTGGTTCTTCCTCGGGAGGTTCGGAAATCTTCCTCGCGCGAGACTTGACCGCCTTGGGTGTTAGAAAAACGTCACTTAAACTGGGACGGGTCCAATACGGCCGTAAGATGGCCCGGCCCGCGCTCCTGGTATCGTGTGAGCGTGAAGCATTGGAACAGCATGCGTTGTGAAAATCGTGACCTTCCCGCTTACCATGGGGAGCTTTTTCTCTTCAGGTAATTTTTCTTCCTTGACTCTCGAGGGGGTTTCTTCTTTCTTTTCCTTTTCCTCCTCTTCGACCTTCTTCAGTCCTCGGGGTTTTCGAGTCTTCGAAGCTACCGGTGTCGAGTTTTCCACAACCACATTCGTTCGTGGCGTGGAAGACGTCAGGGGTGTCACGTTAGCGAAAGTGGTAGGAGTGCTCTCAACGCTACTCGCAGCGGCCTCCGCGTCGAATGCTTCAACCCCACTCTCATCGAGATCCATCAATTGCTGGAATTTATAATTGATAAGTGACCAACTGATCAATCCAACAATGAATAGTAATTGATCGCCTAGAAGAAAAAATCTTCAATCGACCCCCGGGTGGGCAGGTCGACCGGAGCACGCGCGAATTTCTGATGTGCCCTAGCGCTCTTACATTATCAGTGAGCGAATCCTCCATGTGTCCTTCCTCAACCTCAGTGCTGGCCTCTTCCTCCGGTTTGACGATTTTCGTTCGATCGTCGTCACGGTCATCGTCATCGTTTTCATCATCGTCTTTGTTGTCGTTGTCGTCGGCCTCATCGTCATCGTCTTGTGTGATAGTCGTCTCGTCGGAAACCCCGACACCGCTCGGAGCAGCTGCCGCAGCGCCAGCAGCAGGTGGAGGCTGCTGAGCGAGCGAGGTGAGCGAGGGTCCACCGATGGTGGGTTCGATGGGATCTTTTTCGATATCGGTATCTTCGCCTTCGGACTGCTCTTCTTTCGGAGGAACTACCGGTGCACTCGAAGATGTTGCAGCGGGGGCGGTGGTTGACGTTGCAGATGGGAGGGTCTCTGGAATCACTGCAGCTGGAGTTTTCGAAGCCAGAACAGGCGCTTCCACTCGTTCTTGAAGTTCGCTTTCCCTCGAGACACTTTCCAACGGGACAGCCTCTTTGGCGGATACGCTCGGTGCCGTTGGTGGTGCAGCTGTTGCAGGTGTTTTTTCTGTTTGAGGTGCAGCTATAGCGGTCGAGATCACCGATGTTGACGTCGGCGCCGTCGAACTGGCTGGGACGCTGCTACCGCTTGTTGTCGAATCGGGTGCAGGAGCGGCGGACGGCTGCGGGGACGGTACAACTGACGCTGCAATTGTTGATGTGGACACCGCAGCCGCGGAAGAGGGCGTGCCAGCCTTCTTCCGTTTGGTGACCCGCGATCTCTTTGGTGTAGACGCTTGTTTCTCTTGAGCCGGGGAGTCTTTGGATTCCTCGTCAACCTTTTCCTTTTTCACCTCGACGAGCTTCTCCTTCTTGAGCTCGAGCCTATCCCTCTTAGTTCCCGCTACAAATGGTGCCTGTTTCTCGATCGATGGACCAACGTCTGGCACGGCCGGAAGCGGGGCCGAAGTCGCAGCCGTCGCGCTCGTTGCGGCAGCGTCCGGGGAACACGACGTGGCAGCCGTCGGAGGAGGTGGGCTGGATTCAGGTGGCTTCGACTTCACAGCAAATACTCGCGCAGTTTGCTCGGGACTAACTTCAACAAGCTTTTTAACGGGAGCGGCACCCTGGCTCTCGTTCGAGCTGCTTGGAGGTCCCGAATGCTTTTTCTCATCCTTCACAGTCTTAGCAGTTGCAGTGGAGGTCGCGCCGTCCTTCTTCTCGTCCTTAATGACCTCTGTAGGCTTCTTTTCCTTGGCAACTTCCTCATCCTTCTGTTTAGCGCCGTCCTTTGGGGGATTGTTGTCCTTTGCGGGAGCCTGATCTTTTTGTCGAGTTTGGACGCTGGTCTCGGACGTGGGTTCTTCGGAGAACTTCTTCGTAAGCTTCCCCCGGCGCTTGCGAGGCTCCTCGTTGTTCTCCTCGTCTTTCTCCTTTGGGGCCGATTCTCTGGTTTTCTTTGATGTCGACGTCGCCGTGTCTTTCTCTATCGATCGGTCTCGTTTCGAACCGCCTTCGGCTTTTTCGTTTTTGCTTTCGCTCGGAGAGTTCGACGAGTCTTTGTCGTCCAGACGCTTCTCACGTTCTGCAGCAGAGGCAGCAGATTTTCTCCCAGGACCCCTAGAAAAAAATGGAACGAGGACTGTCAGAAGGGAACTTGTGAATTCCCATGCTCGGAAATCGGAGAAGCGGAAGAAGACCGCTGAAGTTTCGGATCCTTGGGGGAACAGAGATTCGGAGCTCCAAGAAATCCGCCTGGCCTTACCGTCCTTTGTCCATTTTGAGTGTGATGTTTTCGAGGATCCGTTTCTTCTGAATCCATTCATCGTAGCGATTGTTCCAGCCCGTGTAGTGCACGAGGTATTTCTTCTCAGTGCTGTCACCATCAGCGTCTTCGATTTTTAAAACTTTGGCTTCGTACACTTTGAGTTGCTTACCGTGACCGTACTTGACCTTGATCCTGTCGTTCACGCGAATCGGCTCGATATTCTTCTTCAGGGGGGTGGCTTCGCTTTCGCTCGCTTCGGTATCGGAGTTCTTGTCCCTCTTCTTCTTGGGACCTCCAGCCCCGGGCCCTGCGCCAGCTCCCGCCCCGCTCCCACCGCCGTTATTTCCCGTTCCCACAACTGCGGCCGTACTGCTGGCCGCGGCTGCAACGGTTGAGCCCGCGACGGTGTTGCTTGCAACGACCTTATCTTCCTTCTCCTTGGAGCTCTTCACCGCAGATGCGGCCGCGGCTTTCTCCTTCGCTTTTCTCGTGGAATTGTCCAAGCTATCGCTACGGATGCGTTTCGGAGTGACTGCGCCCGCATCTTTATCCTCGATGATTTTTTTCCTCACAGATCGTTTCTCTTCGTCGACTCCTGCGTCCTTATCCCTGTTTTTCCCGATGGACGACGTCGGCGAATCGGGCTGTGGCGTTACGGCTTTACGATCCCTCGCTTTGAACACATTGACTGGCAACTGTTTGTTTCGGGTCATTATTCGTTGACTGCGGCCTCCCGATGTGCTGACCTTCGTATCCAGCGTGGTGGCCATCCCGAGTTTTCGATAGAGATCCTCGAAACCCTGGAGATACTTTTTATAGGCCGACTTGAGTTGCTGGCCTTGGGCTGGCGTGGCTTTTGGCTCCTTGAATAACTTCGAGTAGACGTCCTTCCATTTGTTCAAGTTGGTGACTTTGTCGAAGGAACCGATTTTCTGCACTGATGAGAATAGCTGATGCAAGTCGAGGTCTTTGCCGTTGACCACCGGCGCCTTGTTGATCGGGGTGCCCCTCTCGTCCATGAATTTGTACAATTGGGCCACGAAGCGGTCTTTCTCTTCGTCGTGAACTTCTTCATCGGGATCGGTTTCGTCTTCGTCTTCCTGATCCTCGCCACTGTCTCGGGCGTCGTCGTTGTCATCGTCTTCCTCGGCGCGATCCGGCTCGTTGTCGTCTTCGGTGTCCGCGGGCTCATCGAGAAGTTCCTTGCGACTCCAACCCTGAGGGAGCTCCCCTTTCTCACAATAGACCAAAGCTTTGGAACACGCAGACTTCTGAGGGTTCCCTTTGAGAATCAATTTGCGATCGAATTCTGTGGCGTCTTTTCTCGCGACCACCATCCTGTAGAAAACGAATATTATTTATTCGTGCGCTATTTTCCCGAAGTGGATTCGGAAGGACTAATTCTTGTCAGCGCTGACAGGCTGATAAGGCTCCCGGAGGAGGCAAACTTACACTTGGCCGTCTCGGAATAGTTTGACCCTGACTTCGTCTCGCTTGATCGAGCTCTGGTCCCTCAGAACGAGAGCGGGAGCGGAAACATAGTCTCGTTTGCTACGCGGCGTATCTGATCCCCGCGGAGGTTTCTCGTCTTTGCGTTCGACCTCAATCAAGATCACGGATCCCGCGCTCATGGCAGACTACGAGGGGAAAAACGGCGGGGTTCGATTTGATTCTCAATTCTCAATCGCCCAGACTGGGTCTGTGGCGGAAGATGGACTGCAGCGTTCTCGCTTTTCACTCACCCTGTTCCGGGATTCCCTAGGTGTGAGATTCGTCGTCGGCTGGTTACGCTTCCTTCGCGGAGTCGTTTCAGGTTCGTCCTCCTCTTGGCTGCTCGCGTCGCCTCCTTCGCGGCAGAGGAATTCACCAAGACTGGCTGCGGTACGCTTCTTACGCGGTGGCATTCCGCTTTTCCCCAGTTGTTCCCTAGCCTGAGCCCCTGCACCTCGCGTCTCGCCTGGAGCTGGAGAATTCCCGACGTTCGAAGAGCTCCCTGTGTTTCCCGCTGTTGGCGCAACAGGCGCGCTGAAGTGCTCTGGGTTGGTTAGGGGCAGCTGGTCGAGCGACTCGCCGTCCATATAATGTTTCCCGCTTTTGAGGCAAAGTGAGGTTCTCCGAAGAGTTGTCACGTCCCCGTCGTCGAAAACTGAGGAAAGAGTCGGAGTTAGTCGACACGGATTTTCAATTTGGATCCATCCTGAGCGCTCGGAGCATGGAAATTCCTAAGCATCCGTCTGACCTCGTCACCATCTCGATCCCCATCGAAAAGGGACACAGATATCCGAAATAGGTGGTAAAGTCCGCTTACCGACGGTATATTGGCTCTGATCGATAATTTTTATGACGGTTGCTTCTTGGAACAAACTCGGTTTGTCGGGATGTTTCGCTTCCACCGTCAAACCGACTTTGTAATTCCCTCTTATATGATCGTCCGGCACAATCACGGAGCCGCCCATGACGGACTTGAATGAAAGTCGGCATTTGACCGATCTTTGAACCTGATTAAGAAAATTGATTTAGCTCTCCTGCGCGAAACCTTCAACCTCTACCTGGTCTTGACACATATGAGGCTCCGTCGGAGACCGCTTCAAGCTGGCCCGGAATCCGCGCCGCGTCGGCGGGAGCTTTTCCATATAATTGGGCTCGGTAAATCTCTCTTACCTTCTTGATTTTCGCCTCACAAAAGGCTCCCTTATATTTCGCGGAGACATCTGTCCCGACCGACAGAAACGGCGGCTCGTCATTCGCCTGGAGAAATTAGAAGCTTTTATTCATACAGGCTGTTTGGTGTGGAATTTCATAATGAAATGTAAATGTCAAAAATTCACTTCCGGGTTGGACACTGGACATCACTGCACAAACGAATGAACTCTCACAAACGTGTTGAGCGGGTTCAATATTCTTTGAACGTTATGGTTGATCTGTAAAAAATCTCATGGAGCAGTCTTCAAACGCCAACCTGGCAACCGCCACCCCCTCGATCAGGACACTTGATACGAAAATGAAAGTCCGGCTGAGCTGGCTGGCGAAATCGCACCGGAGACCGAGAAAAAATTCTCTGACGGCCCCCAACTATATCAGGAAGCAGCGAACAAGCTCTCGAGGAACATCTAGGTCTCATTCACAACGATCAGTGTACGTGACAGGTACACTTTTCGTTCCGTATCCGACGAATGTGTCTTGTAGCGGCCCTTCGAAGACTCGCTCATCGCAAAGAAAGGGTACCGAAATGTGCCGGTCAGCTTTTTCCAGCGGCAAACCAAAGAACAGGGACAGAGAATGAGTTCCCGGAGCTTGTGCCCGCACAGCCCGGACCAGAGATTCGAGCCGAAAAGGCTCGAAGCGTCGAATACAGCCAAAATTGTGACAAATGACATTTACACGAACCATAACGTTGCAGTATTTGTAACGTGAACCACGTACAACGCTTCGTACACCTCTGTCGAAGCTCTTCTCAGGGTCAAATAGAAATGAAAACAGTAAAAATCTTCAAAGTTTCACTTCGAACACAGCGGATAGCGCTCATCGCAGGAACCGCAAAAAACTAAACAAGAGCGATCGAGTAGTGCTGCCAGCAGCCGTCCGTCGTCAGCTAGGGTTGCCGGGATGCCGCCGCCTCCGAAGCAGCGGACCATATGAGTCTTCAGCGCGCCGAGTTTTGAAAAGCCGCGCCTCTTGCTGGCTCGCTCGCTCGGGGGAGCTCGAAATTTTTGAGGCGCATTCAGGGGGAAGGAGCATCGACGATCGCGGATCGTCGTTCGTCTAGAACTCGAGACTTTCAGGGAGCCCATCGGCTGCGACGGACCCCGAGGCTAACCTGACCGTGGGCCTGCTTCTCGTGGAGCTTCAGCGGTGAGGGCCTAGCGGGAGGCCCGGGGCAAGGTTCGCTTCGCCTCGAGATCTGCCGTCATCATCCTCAGCGCTCGGCTGCGTGGGGTATCATATCCGACCATATTTTATGCAATGCGAAGTGCATCGACTATGTCTTATGCCTTGTGAATCCATGAACAAAGTTCCAGAAATCAGGTGGCCAAGCGAAATGTACTCAGGAAGAACTTCAGATTTTAAGAAATCCGCCAGAACAGTCCTCGAGACATGGAATCGGATCTCACCGACTTTCATTCATACGAGAAGAGTCGCGCCCCTTGGGCGTTGCGACTGCCTTATACCAGGTGAACATGAGTCCAAAAGCTGAGGGAATGCCAAGGAGTTCGAACGGATATTTTATTCACAATTTTGATCACACTCGCTCTAAGACACGATTAGGCGGCCACGGCGAAACCGACGCGATCGCTTTGACGATCGAAGACGGTGAAGTAACGCCCGATGAAGACATCCCCGAGGATCCAGAGAGGTCCCCTGGGAACATCGAGACCGATGAAGCCAGACAGACAGAGGGGCAGACCACCCTGGCTCATCTTCATAACGTAGTCGTTGGGGGTGAGCTCGAAGTCTTTCCCACCGAGAGTGAAGGTGATGTTGGGCATGGTCGGGAGGTTGTTGCAGTTCACCAGGTATTCGCCATTCAGGAAGGGAGCCGCTCCGATGGCCTTGTTGAGAGCCTTGACCTCAGAGGTAGGTCCGGCAATGAGGGAGGTTCCCGTATCGGCGATGGCTTGGCATCCGTTAGCGCACAGGGTGGTCTTACTGACGTCACCGATTTTGACCGAGTCCATCTTGAACTGCCAGTATCCCTTTCTGGAGACGGGAATGTAGGTGATCTCCCCCTTGTGATGCTTGGGGTCGATCCCGCCGATGACGAGCTCGCTGCCGGTGGGATGATCGTTGTCCCTCGTCAGGTAGAACGAGAAGATCGGAGCGGCGATAGCGTTCTGAGCGACCATCTGATCGAAGACTGGGAGCACGCCGAGGACAGAGATCTGAGGGTATCCCATACCAAGGATTCCGTCGAACTTGCCGGCGATGAAGCCGAGGCCGGACTCCTTGAGGATCTCAGCGAACGTCTGTCTGGTGATGTTCACGCCGTTGACGCTGACGTCGTCAGCGGACAAGAGACCACTGACGGCTCCGGATCCGTATTGGATGCTGAAGGTGGTTCCGTTCGCCAGGTAGCTGGTGGACTTGCTGGAGTGGTACTTGTTGTGCAGAACTGGGATGGGAAAAAGATGGAATTAGCCGATTCCCAATCGATGATTCCTCCTCAAAAATCAATTCAATGTTCTCGGACCTCATTCGCCCCATGCCTTGGGGAAGGAGAAAAAATTGAAGGGATCATAGGCACTCACGGCATGCAACGTTGGTGATGGGGCAATTAGCGGAAGGGACCCAGAGGTTCGATGATCCAGTGTCGAAAACGACCTGGAACGGCTGGGGTGGGTTTCCTATGGAGATCGGTCCGTAATACTGAGCCTGGAGATGATGCGGAATAAAAATCTGATAAGTTAAAACGTTTCGAAAAGATTCACGGCAAGATTTTGGGTTCAATAGACGCGCGGGTCAAGAGCCTCGAACGACGCCGCGGAGAGGGTTGCGCGAAGACGACATCCTCCAGTGGAGATTCAAATTGATCTCATCTAGGCTTGCTGACAGCCGTCTAAGCCGAGAAGGTGAGCGCGAGACCTTCCGGGAAACATACACTCGAAAATCTCAAGAGTTTGTTTTCTGGAATTGTTGAGCTTGTCCGCTTGTTTCGACACAGTAGGGATATCCACCGTTCGAGAAGTCTTGACCACTTTCGTCGACCCGATATAGATTCCCTTCCCTTTACGAGGGAGGGGATATTCATTGAAATCTATTCGCTTACGTCCATGTAGTTGGCGATGGGCTCGACATTGCCCCCCAAGATGGGCCTTGAGAACATCACATGACGAGGAGTGTTCTTCTCGATAAGGGTCTGACGGAGCGACTTCGACTTCTGCAGAGGGATCCTGTGGAATTGTTCGAGGAGCTTCGTGAGAAAAACTGAGCGGCACCTCAGCTAGCTAGCCAGCTATCTATCTAGCTTCAGTCACGAATCTCTCGAGGCGGTTCCATTTTCTGCTTTTATCAGCGCTGCATTATCCGGTCGTCGCTCGGAACTCTGGTAGGGACGCGATTCGGCGCTTCGTATTCTTCTACACCGGAAAATTCTTGCGAGACCCCAACCGGGAACTAACGGAGCAGTTCGACGATCACAAGCCATTATCCCGAAGTCCCTTCGAACTCACCTGAGCAAGTTAGCCTGAACGCAAGCCACGAGGGCAACAAACACCACGAAAGCCTTCATCTTGGCGACTGACGATCGAGTTCGAGATGCGATCTCTTTTATGCGCGTCCGACGAGATTCGTATTGGAGGGGAAACGGAAAGGGCAAAGGAACGTATCTCTCTGGAGCTCAGCTTAATGATTATGTCATTCTGTCGCCATCGTGACCGATCGATTTCTGTTGAGAACGAGGCGGAATGAGGAAGAATGAATTCCCGTATGTAGATTCCAGCGATCATTCGGCATCCGCCCAGAGAAATCGGAAATTCTCGCTTCGAATCTACGAAAGACCCCAGGTCTCCGAGGAGGAACGGGCTTCCGGCGTTTTCCGTGTGACCTGCGTTCTGTTCGATATTCTTGGGGGATCGAGGAAAGACTTGCACACGGCTGACCACTGGATTTGGATCCGAACAGCCTCTGACGCGATTTATCGATTGGATCAGAGACTTAGATCAACCGTTCCAGCTTGCAACGGCGTTTGACGCTCCATGGCTCCGTGATTCGTTCATCATGGCTGCCGAGCCTCAACGTTACGGCCACCGCTGACTCTATCCCTGTCCCATCTGAGGCCGCGGGGCAAGGGCGCGGTGGCCTGAGAGACTTGAGCCGCTAATTATTATTGCAGGTAAAAGTACGCTCCAAGTTCCGAGCAGGTAATCGATATCTGTCGGGTGTCTCGTCAGTCTCACACGCGCTCTTCCCGCCCCAGTACTCACTTCTCCTTCGCTTATTGTGCACTGGCGGAGTGCATGTGTCGGAACACGCGTGCTGAATTCTAAGGATCCCGGGTCCGGAATATCAAGGGGAAGCTTTCCGAATTCTACCACCAATCTTATCCGAACGGATCATCTCCGCTCGATCGCTACTCAGATATTCGGTGGAATGTCGCCCCAAAGAAGTCGATCCATTGCACTTCTAACCACCATTATCGGGAAATATCTTGACCGGAGGGTGTCCGTTTCCTCCTGCCCCGTAGGATCGAATCGATACCTGAGCTACCTGATGTGGAAGCAGTCGATTTCCCGGGGGGTCGAATTTAAGGACGTGTTCGAGAAGTCACCAGACGTTACCGGCTTATGGGGATCAATTATCTCGAGGAGGCGATACCATCCGGGAACGGGATCGAACAGTGAAGGGAATATCCGCATAGGATTCGCCAGCGGTTCCCCCTATTCTTGCTTGGAGTGATCGAAAAGATTCCTTCGCTCTATCATCGAGCATCGGATAACCGCGCAGGGGTTCAGGAACCTCTCCAATCGAGGAGATGAGCCGGGATCTAGATATGATTCGAGATATAATTGGTGATGAATATGTCCCTAGTTCGATTCGTTAATGACACTCGGTCTTCTCCGACGGGAGAATGCACGGGACCCACTCGGATATTCGAGGCCTGATCTCTCCAGAAGACGCGGAATCCATGGCGGCGGAGACCGGTGTGACCGGGCGAAACCTATTCCTCTGATGAGCTGATATTGTGAAAGGTGAATCTCGGTTCGGAGAGATTTCAGATTTCACCGAGGGAGGGACACACTGATTCGATGTGCGTGAAGACCAAACGACTTCTCATTCATTGCTTATTTCCTCCGTATGCACGTCTCAGCGGCTACTGTCAAACGTCAGAGCGTTTCGATTCGGTAGATCGGGAGGCGTATCCGGGCTCGGACCGGGAGAGCGGCTCCACGAGCACCTCCGGAAATCGCCCGAGATCAATCAGAGTCATAACGCCTGCTGTGGGAGCGTGATAGCGTACTTCCCCCATGCGAGGGAATATCTGATTCTCCTCCGTAACTAATGTTTTCTCGCGCAGCTCATGCCCTCATGGGCAAGTCTGATTTTTTCTATCGGATTTGAATACAGTCAACGGAACCAAGTTTACAGACGCGGAGTGACGGCGGACACGAAGAGTGGAGTGTCTCACAATTTCCGGACGGATCAGACCGACACTCAATTCGCTTTGATCGAGTTCTTCGAATCGGTACATCGGTTCTGTTCCCTCGGACCAATCTACTTGCGAGATCTCAACATTTTGAGCTGCTCCAGACGATCATATCAGTTCCGATAGCTGTGGAATCCTATACGTAGCTAATCTGAATTCGAATTTAGGGTGGTATCATCCAGGCTATCAATTCCAGCGCGACGCGATAAAGCCCTTAAACCTCTCGACGAATTCCGATCAATGAGAGCACCAGCTTTCGGGAAAGCTCTTGTTTATTCTTCGCGGAAAATGGAGCATGCTGTCAATCTGCAACCAGCGGACTTCTTCGCCAGCAATTTGGGTTTATCGGCCCCGTCGGCGGCATTCAGTAGCCACACTGAAACTACCCCTTCACTGGTCCCGGTTGCCAAGTAATGGCATCCCATCCTCTCATTCGGTCCTCCGTATTCCACGCATTTTATCCGAGCCCGAGGATCGGCTTCAAATTCTATTATACAGGACGGCGCCACCTTGCCCACGTCGTCTTTCACTGTCAGATCGAAAACGCCGACCTGCAGATCGAGAAATGAGAATCCAATTTATCATCCAGAATAAAATGGAATCGGGGACTGGAGCTGTTCGGTGCGGGGAATAAACTTATGGGTTGCCAATCACTATTGAGTGGACCAGAAGAGCTCACCTTGCCCTCGTCTCCGCTCAGGACCAGGTAATCGCCGATGAAAGTGAGATCAGATATCCTTCTTCCGAAATCTATAGAGCCGACAACCCCACCGACTTCCGGAGAGAATATATCGCAGTCGTTTCCATGCGTGATTACGAATAATGTTTCCGATGGACACCAGGCTACACGTGAAGCTTCACACTGAGGATTGGAATCAATGATCAAATCTCTGGCTATGGAAGTTCCGCATGGCAGGTCAATCAAATCGGATCCCACGTCAATTATTATCCTGTCTCCCAGAACATTCCGGGTGCCTCACCTTCAATTTCGAGATGAAGGCTGGCCGACCCTTCACCAGATTCCAGGTGTAGATAGTCTTATCCTTCGAAACTGACAAGAGGAGCTTACCTGGAAGGAGAAAAACCTGTCATCTCTCAATGCATAGCACACCAAGAGACCGCGCCGGCGGAATTCCAAGCGGAAGTCTAAGTACCTGAGCTATGCACAGCAATATCATTGACTGCTTGCTTGTGACCTGTGAGCGTTTTTAAACACTGCCAGCTTCCCGTGTCCCAAACACAAATCGTGCCATCGTCGCTTGCAGAAAACAAATGAGAATTTTTGAAGAACCTGCCGAGAGATAAATTTTAGAAGAGCGATTAGGATTGCACGGGTCCGAGGTGACGGGAGGAACGCGTTCTGATTCGGGGCGGAACGCCATTCCTTCTTCCGAAGAAAATCGAGATTCTACTCTCTGAATTCTCGGGGAGGTACTCACTTCAAAGCGTTGATGGTTCCGGAATGTTTCATAAGGGAACCCATCTCTTTGCGGGTTCTCATATTGTACAGCTGAATGGTCTCATCCGAAGATCCCGACGCTAAAAACTTCCCGCCACTACTGACTGCGCGCACCGACGCGATATGACTCGGGCTGGCGAAACTCTGTTCCAGTGTGAAGAGATCATCCTGCAGTCGTCGAAAAGAATACCCGACCACAAAGTTTTCATAGGTCCCTGGATGAGAAAAATGCATAAGTTCAAAAGATATTCACCGGTTCCTCAATCACGACCGGAGCAGGAACAGCTGAAGCTTCTTCGAACTTACCGAAAACGAGCTCGAACTCCTGGGTGCCTTCCATCAGAGTGTTCGCCATCTCCACTCTCACATGGAGTCTCAATTACGCGATCACCCTATACAGCGGAAGGGATTTCGAATTTCTCCCCGGCGTCGAATGTTTCGCCTCGCGTGTTCCGATTCTGATCCTTGACATGTGCTCTGAGGAGAGGGCAACGAAGAAAACAAACCCGCGAATAGGAACAGACCCGGACGATTCAAACTTTGTTTAGGCCAGTGTGGGAAAGAGGAGCCGGCTCAGTCGATGATTGAGCGAGAAAGGGCAGAAAGCTGGTATGTTCGCGCCTCGTCCCTCCGTTTGGATTCATCGGTCCGATCGCTTAGATCGGAAGTCGCGTAAATAATGCCTTCGTAGATAGCCGCCGTCAACTCTGCCCAACTCCAATCCCGCAGCTCTCATCCGGACGCCGGTGCATTCCAGTCCCGGAACCCGTGGTAGAACGGCCAAGAGGTGTTCTGGCTCCCTGTCGAAAACGACGTGGAGCGAGCCCGGTCCGAAGATAGTAGCTGCATCAGTTTTTCCCCACGAAGAAATCCGTAGACGATGACAACAATGATTTTTGCCTCCGAACCGATCGAGATTGCGCGGTCCGTGTCGCGACTCGCGATCACTGTACATCGACGACGACAACGCCGAACGAGCGCGCTGCTGAAGGCGCGCCTAAGCCTCAATGAGGATGACATCTTCTTTGAAGGAAATGTATCTTCCCCTATGGAATTCAAACATGTAATTCTCGGTGACGGATGCAGCCAGCGCACGCTCGCTGATGGTTCTCCACTCTTTGCCCGGCCCTCTTGGAGTCCAAAAGGATTTTTAGTCACCCCGTTACGGCATTTCGTCAGAGGGGCCCGATATATTCATCCCAAAGCGTGTATCTTTCCAACCGTGCCTCAGAGGGACGCATCGCAGACTGAAGATTACACAAGCGTTGTGTAAAATCCTGAAAATACGCGCTGGGCGGCTGACTCTGACGGATTCGGATAGAGGCAGTGCCCGTGTCCGCCCCCTGCCCAGGAAAAATCCTGGCCGTTGATACAGACCTGATGCTTGAACAGTCAAACCCGCCTTATGGGATCACCATACGAAGCCACCACCTGAGCTAGCGGACCTTTCCCCTGAAAACCGATCGCCGTGAAGACCTACATATGATATACTGAACGCAAACCCGAACCAGCTGAGTATCGGACCCTCCGAAGACTACGCCCGTGGTCCGATTTAATAGCCTCCGCTGTATGGATGAACCGAATCACTCATCAAGATGCGATTATTACGAGTCCGGATCCATGAAGGAGTTCCACCCACCACGAGACGTCACGAATTTCTCAAGCCTTCAAGGCTTTTCTGATGTTGTCGAAGCCTTGGGTAGGATTGTGGACCATCACTCGGGGATAACTCTATGTATGCCTTGGAGGGCTTTTTTATTATGTACATTCAACAATTTATTGACAGGAAAGTCTGAATTTCAGAGTCTCGAATGCATCGAACATGGTAGGATCATCTTGCAATTATTTTTCTTCAATCTTCAAAAGCTCATTCAATCGAGCTGCCTTCTATGACTACATAGATTTTGTACAGATTCATATATAGGTGCGAGCTTGTGCAAACTTAAGGAACTCCAGAAGCTCGTGGAGACTCGATGCAGGAGTCTCAGGAATTCGAGCGACCCTCACTCGTTCGTTCAAGTTCATCTGAACGACTCGAACGCCAGAGATATCCGTTGCCGCTCCGCGTCCTTCTTGATTACTCGACATTCGACGATGTCCCCTAACTTAATTATCCCCCGAGCGGCGCCCAGCTGACCATTATGGATTAAAGCGTCTTTATCCATCGCGATGTCGACGAATGCGCCGAAAGGCACGACGTTCTCGACACGGCCCGAAAGCTTCTGGCCGATTTGGATATTCGCCATGTTTATGTTTCCAGCATTGAAAATCGGTGCACAACCCTCATCTCTAACGTCCGAGTTCCTTTTGACTTTCAACGCCTTGAGGATTAATTCGACCGTCAGGAGCGTCGAGTCGAACATTCTCACGAGCTCATCCGCTTTCGCTCTTTCCTTCACCCGGTCGATGAAGTTCTGAGTTCCGATGCATCTCACGTCCAACCCGAGATGAGAGATAATCTTCCGCGTTAGATCGTACGATTCAGGATGGATAATAGTCGAATCGAGAGGCTCCAACTCCTCTGATATCGCTTTTTCGTTCGGTTTTTTCACTTTGACTACTATGAGGCTGTCGTCGAGGCATTGCTTCAGGGTTTCTGGGAGGATCTTCACAAAACCGGCACATTGCTCGTATCTTTTCGGGCCGATGTGCGGCACCAGCTGTAGCTGCTCTCGATTATTGAAGGGCCCGTTCTGTTTCCGGTGGGCGATGATGTTCTTGGCCGCGGTGGCGTTCAGACCCGCGACCTGTCGTAGCAGGAACTCAGGACACACGTTTACATCCACCCCAACATAGCTCACGCACTCGACGACCGTACTCTGCAGAGCTTCTTTCAGCCGGGATTCGTTGATATCGTGCTGGTACATGCCTACGCCGAGGTTCTTCGGCTCCACCTTGATAAACTCGACCAGTGGATCTTGAAGACGTCGAGCGATAACGACTGCGCCTCTGACGAAGCAGTCTAAGCCGGGGAGTTCTTCTTCGGCAGCTTTGCTCACGCTGTATATGGACACGCCAGCCTCCCGAACGGTCGTGAAACGGACGGGCTGGTCGCCAAAAAGCCTACGCTCGTTACAGGAACTGATGAGACGCTTGACCTCTCTGCAACCTTTGCCGTCTCCCACAGCGATGAGGTGACAGCGGTGTTTCAATACCAAGTTCACCAAGACCTGTTCGGGTCGTGATTTCAGATACATCATGGCGCTCTCGAGGAGATCTCCGCTTTTGGAAATTACGGCCAGTTTGCAGCCATTTGTGAAACCCGGATCAATTCCGAGAACCGACTCGCCACGCACGGGCGGCGTCATGAGTAGCGCTCGGAGATTGCATGAAAAAACTGTTAGAGCTTCTTTTTCAGCTCGATCCTTCAGATGCGTTCGAGCGACTCGAGAAATGTAGGGTTTGCATAGTCGATCGAAGGAGTCGTCGACGGCATCCCTGATGAGCTTCCTCGTGGCTGGATCGAGAAGACAGCGTTCATGGAATTGTTCTTCGAGGCACTTTTTGAAATGCTTCTCACAGACCATCGTCAGGTGCACGTTGACCGACAGGAAACCCTGTTGCTCGCCGCGGTTTATCGCCAGAATCTGTGGAAGAAAAAAGCGATTCGGATCGTTATTGATTGACGAATTATTCATGCTTGCATCTTTGAGGCATGTACATATATAGTTCGAGGTACGAATCGTGTCCATGGTTCATTGCGTTCATTTCGTGGCTGAGGAGTCCACGAACGATTCCGAGTTAAGAACTCCTTTCGGGAATTACCTGGTGACTCTCCATGGCCGATACCTTGCGCGCGAAATCGAAGTAGTCACGGAAATTGTCGCTGCATTCTTTGCCGGTGAATACTTTTTGTGACTTCGCTTGCTTCTTCTGTTTGACGTGGAGCTCGGCTTCTTGACGACTGATATCTTCCATTAGGTCGAGCACTGCGCGACTCCTCCGGAGTTCGTCGGCGAGGATGTAACGAATCGATTGCAGTAAGTCCGAACTGTCGGCTTTTCCCGGAACGGATGGATCGATGAATTTTTCCAATGAGAAATCTCGGAGTGTTTTCTGCTCCCGCCAGATCGGCATGGCGATTGCGTCTAAGCCGATGCTACGCGCTCTGGCTGCGTGGGTTTTCCGGCCTTTCTGCTTCATCGGCTCCATGATGGTATTCAACTCTTCGAGCGTCCTCGACGAGAGAATCGCCTGTTTGAGGCCCTCGTCGTTGTTGCCCTCATTCCCAAGCTTCGTAACAAGTGCTTTGGCTTTCTTCCGGACCTCCACCAGCGTCGAGTATTCTTCTCTTATCGATTGGATCACCTCGGGCGAGAGACCTCCGGACTGATCCCGTCGATACCGACAGATGAAGGGGAGGGTGAATCCTTTATCAATCATGCCGATGATGCTTCTCACAACAGTGTAATTCGTGGCACATCTCTTCGAGACTATTTCGAAGATGTCCCACAGGCCATCGGACATCAAAGGAGAAACGAGTTGATCGTCCACATCGATTGTCGTGCCCAACAGATGCTCTCGGTCGACGTCTTCTGTCCTCTGGCTGCATTCAGGCTCAGTCTTGATTATCGGAGGCTGCTCGACAGTCGGAGTTTTTTTCGTGACCACTGTCTTCGTCCTTGCTTTTTTCTTCAGAGGCGATTTGGAGAGGCGTTTCAGCGCGGGTTTCTTCTGCATTGCGCTTTTGATCTTCGGACCGAGTCGGACATCGATTTGGAACGGCTCGTGAGAAACAGCTGGCGCAACCAAAGCAATCGATTCCAGGACTGGATTACTGCGGATTTCGGGAGGTCGCTTCAGAGGAGGCTCGGTACGCTTCTGCTCCATTTCTCTATCCTGAGCCGGTCGTTTAGGGATGGTTTTCCCAGAAGGAGACTGCTTCTCGAGAATCCTCCTCGGAGGGATCGGTTTCACGAGTTTTTTCTTGGCCAAGAGCGGTTTTCCGCCGCCCTTCTCTGAAGCGACCCGCTTCTTACTTGGAGCTGCTGCCGGTTTCCCTTTCGGGAGCACTCGTGATGCCCCCTCATTGTCGGGGGGACTTCTTCCAAGACTCCTCGTCGATGAGCTGCTACCGCTCGACTCCCCTATTGCCACCGGCGAAAACTCTCTCTTAATAATATTGCGTCGGACTGCCTGAAAAATTCAAAGAGAGCACCATGTAGCTTCGGAGACGCAAGTAAACCCAAATGAGCCAGTCGTACATGGATGTAGCCGCAGAGGTCTGAAACCCGAATCGGCAGCCTCCATGTGACGCGACTTTCAGCGCATTGAAATCTTCATGAAGGGATTGTGGCAAGTCCTTACCTTCGGTGCTGGCGCGGTCGGCTCTGGAGATACGCGGACACGCCTCGTCAAGATCACGGTCTCATCAGAGTCGCGAGAGCTCGATCTCCGTCGGTCTGCCGGCGGGAGAACGATTTCGCAATCGCCACCCAAACTTTTCGTCGACACCGAGTCATCCTCTACTTTGATATCCGGGTCGACCTGAGCCTCTCTCCTCCTTTTGGGCGGACTTCTCCCGAGCGTGTCTCGATGAATGCGTTTGTAAAGATTCTCTATCGCTAGGACGCCTGACGGGGGACTTCCTGGAGTCTTCCGCGAGCAGCTCGGTGAATGATTCCCAGGGCTTCGCTCCTCCTCGCTGTCGCTGAGAATCTCCACGACCAGCCTCTTCCCGAGTCGACCTCCCTTCTGTCCCATCTGCGGAAACGAAGAGACCTGCTAAGGGATATAATACACTGGAGGATAACGGCTCATTATTCATAATGGATTTCGTGACGGGATCTCGCGAAGCACATGGGAGCTTCAACGGGCGATCGCATTTCGGGCTGATTGGGGGAAACTACCGGAGAATGATCTCACACGTTAGAACTCACGGAAGTGGAAGGCTCTCTATCCCGGGAACTCATGATAAGACCTCATCCGGTTATTCCGGCCTCCGGAACAGCTGACGGCCGCTTCCTGAGCGCGGATCTTTCTCGAAGTCTCTCTCACAAACGCACTGGTGCGGGCTCATTATTCGCCCTGGGCAAGAATGACCTTCCCATCACTTCCTTGTCCTTGAAAGTTGGGATTGAAGAATGTGCTGAATTTCCCTCTATATATTTGTGCGTCTCGATCGCGAATCCGTATTGTATTGACGCCTCAAGCCGTCTGACATAGGACAGAAGCACTTACCGGAGCATCGTAGAGATCACCGGGGATTCCGAGCCCAGGAATTACTCCCTGAAAGGCGTCAGAGTCACGAGGATGACGGCCGAATATCCTCTATTCCGAACGGCTAGCTCCGCAGCATGCTGGTCATCAGGTGTTCCAAAGAAACATGCGCGCCAAGTTTCAAATTTCCGCGTCGTGCGCTGATCATCGTCGGAGAGGCGGGAGGCGCGCGCATCCGGGCTCTCAATGGAGATGCGGATTACCACTGCGTGAGTGGAGGACCGCGTTGCGTGGAGCGCGATCCGCTTATACATATATCGTCAGATGCTCACCAAAGCGATCCTCCTAGTGTATTAGAATGTCACAATCGCCGTGATGGGTCTCTCCACCCTTTCGGAATGCCGATAGATTTCTCGGTTTGATGCCGATGACCTCGCTACTCAACGGCTTATCCAATTCCGTAGGGCGGGAAAAAACATTGCTACGAGAGCGGGAAAAAAGGATTAAAAGTTCTCGCATCCAACCGAGACCTCATCTGTTTAGGGGGGCCATAGGAAATAGATTGTATGAATCAGAGATTTCTAGGAATCGCCCGGACAGCTGATATAATTCGAGACCTCTCTCTTCTGAAGTTCTTACCTGATTAGGTCTTTCTTGGTTCGAACTCAGGAGGCTGTGACTGTTCAACTCGATTGATATCGGTATCGTAGCGCGCTCCCGTCTCGAATTGACATTCGGGGCAGCCCAAGCTCGTAAGTCGTTCGCTCACCTGTCAGCCGAGTTGCTTCAATGATGATAGCTTAATACCAAGAATGATTTTCATCAGGATCAGACATCGGACTGTCGGAAGAGCTCCGCAGGCAGGGTTTACGAGCTTTCTGTCATGAGAGACCGGTGGCGGATCTAGGGGAGGGGGGGGGCATGCAATCTTCGGTCTCCATACCATCGCAAAGCCCACGAGAGGGCGCGTCATCATTTTCGCCTCTTTGCCCCCTAAAAATGGAAGAAGGAAGAGAATGGAATGGAAGCAGAGCTGTGGTGAGACTCAAAGTGCAGTCTAATCCTTCCGCTCAACTCCTCAGCGAGCGTCGCCGACGCTGCTTCCGCTGCCGGGCTTCCTGTGTACCGAGTCTTCGCTCCAAATGGATCCTCGGAACTTCTCAATATTTCCTTGGATTCCTCTCCAACGTCAGGTCCATGCCCAGGTGTTCCAGGAAGCTTTTTCCATGCGAGCTATGGTCCATCGTCATGAGATTCACCACGCAGGAAGCATGAGCTGTCCTGAGTCTACGGGATCCTGAAAAGGGGAGCGTAAATGATCAAGAGCTCGGTGAAGCTAGCTCGTAGACTTATGGACAGAGGGGGCTCCAGCTCCAGGCGATCCAGATGGCTCCACTGATGGATTAGGAGTTCGATATCTCTATTATCATCATCCGCTTGGGAGATTTGGCAGAGAGACGAGACACGTCTTGAATGAACGAGAATTTATTATATGATAGATCTTACCTAACTGCAGTATCTGTAACCACATTTAGCGGAAGCACAACGGAGGAGAACAGACACGAACTCCATATACATACTTCACTCGATGAAGGAGGTGGGTTGAGAAATACTGAACTCGACGATATCCGTGATTTATCGTTCCTGGCGATATTCGCAATGTGTCAATGTGTCAGAACGCATGATTACCCTTTCTGACTCCTTAAAATTATCTTGTAAATAAATTCAGGTGATTTTTTTGTCCTACGAATTCGTTGGATACGTTCATCACAATCGGCACCCCCGAATCTAGACAATCATCACTATGTCTCAATCAAGACGATTTATCTCCGCCGAGCGGTCCCCTTCAGATTCCGAGACGTATTCAGGCGACGAATACCTCCTACGCGTTTTTCACAATCGCAGCCCATGTGAGCAGTCATGTATTTTTGTCAGATGAGCCACAAGATGGTTCTTCCGGAAAAATGCTCCCTCACGCGCCTCACAGCTTCAGGGCTTCTCGCCAGCATGCGTCCTCTCGTGTATGTATACAGATCTCTGATAAGCGAATTTTTCTCCACATTCCCCACAACTGTAAGGTTTTTCACCGGTGTGGGTTCTTTCGTGGACCTTGAAATGAGATCTCTGAGCGAAGTCTTTGCCGCACTCATCACAGCTGAACGGCCTCTCGCCAGTATGTATCATCCTATGTCTGTGAAAACTACTTATATGAACGAATCTCTTCCCGCACTCTTCGCATCCGTAACGTTTTTCACCGGTGTGAATTCTTCTGTGGGCGACATAATGAGACCTGCTACCGAATTTCTTCCCACAATCCTCACAAGCGTGGGGCTTCTCGCCGGTATGTGATCTCTTATGATCGGCAAGGTGATTCGAATAGGCGAATTTCCTCTCACAGAGCTCACACGTATAAGGCTTTTCGCCGGTGTGTATTCTTCTGTGGCGAACGAAAGAATATTGATGCATGAATTTTTTCCCACAATCCTCGCAGATGTAAGGCTCTTCGCCTGTATGAGTCCTCCTATGGGTGTAGAGAGCACTTTGTTGCGCGAATCCTTTGCCGCACTCGTAACAGATGTGGGGCTTCTCGCCGGTGTGGGTCCTCTCATGCTCGGTGAGGTTTCCCCTCTCGATGAATGCTTTTCCACACTTTCCACAGCTGTAAGGTCTCTCGCCGGTGTGACGACGCAAGTGTCGGTTCAAATGAGACTTCGATTTGAAAGCAGCTGAGCATTCCCGACAGGAGTAAGGCGTCTCCCCAGAGTGAGCGCGAAAATGCAACTTCAACTGTATACTCGATGCGAATTTCGCGGGACATTCGGGGCAGGAGAATGATTTCTCTCCACTGTGAATCCGCTCATGAATTTTCAGCGAACCTTTCGAAACGAAACTTTTCGAGCACGCGGTGCACGAGAATGCTTTCACTCCATCGTGCCGCAACAGGTGCTCTTTCAAGTTGTACCTGTTCTTGAATGTCCGGCCACAGTTCTTACGTGTACACAGCAGACTTTCCGTGTCAGAAGTCATGATTCGCAGTCTCGGTATACCTCCTCCTCGACCGGCATTCGAAAAGCTCCCGTTCCGTTGCACAGAGAAAGTACTGCGATCGAGCGGAAAGCTGCTTCTACTGCGCGCACATTCCCACGCCACGCTCGCATTACTGCTCTCCGAACGCAGCTTCTCTCTCTCTCGCACGGAGGGACACTCCGGAAGTTCGCTCGTCAGCTGCGCTGTTTTCTGATGCAAAAGTAGGAATTCCCACGTGAAGGAACACTTCCGAGTGCGAACATTTCCGTGAAGGATATCTTTCTCGGCCGAATGAGTCTCGCGTAAGGATTCGTCGTGAGTGGTGACCCCGGGGGCACATTTATTGAGCCCGTTTCTTGAATTGAATCAAATCGCAAGGAATGCAAGCTCGGGGATGGTGACGAATGGAAAATAGTTTCCTCAAGATACTCCTACTGCAAACTTTGCTAAGTGTTCAGGGTGATGCTTATGCCGTCCTACGTTCTGTGGTGGCCGAAGAGGCTCTCGGGAGGAGAACATGCGCATCCTGCTTCCAGCACTATCTTCTTGATCCGGAGTACGATTTTTCGCTCGAAATCCTCCTCCAAGGATGGCGACCGTCGGTGAAGAGGCTGCGACACCTTATCCAGGCTATCGCGAGAGATATTCCGCTTCCGATTGCAACATTATGGAAGCCCACTTCGGTGCTCATGAATCACCGGAAACAAAGGAGACCCCTAAAGACAGGGTTTTCGGAATTCCTCCTCTCGACAACAGTGGAACGCGCGCTGCTACCAACACATGAGAGGAAAGCGGAGTCAGAGATGAACTTGAGGCCGGACAAGCACACGGTAGACTGCTGCGAACACACCCAGTACACCACCTCGCATCGGAGGGCGACCTCCGAAATGTGAGCGACGCCCTCCGACGAGACTGCAGGTGGCTCATCGCGCTCTCAGACGCTACACGCTCTCGACGCATTCCCCCGGAGCGCGTGACTGAGGGTGTGGAGTTATGTGGGGAGTGTTCGGCACGCCAGAAAGTTTTCTAGAATCCGAGAATAATAATTCCGACGCGCTGCGAATCGGAGGCTCGGCGTGCGCATGGAGCTTTGGAATAATTTGGAGGATCAACAAGAGTTGGAAAACTATGACATGACTCTCGAAGTCTGAAGTCTCGGACCTCGGAACTGCGCGGAGAGAGCACCGTGTGCAGTGGATCCTTGACAGAGCTGGGAGTATAGCCTCCAAGCGGAGGCTTCATCCGTCATCGAACGTGGCGAAACTCGGAGGAGACGGTAGAAACCGGCGAACACCTCCCACGCAGGACCACGGTCTTCTACAGGGATAGCCGGAATAATGAGAGGTCGAAAGTCAGTGCTGACGAATCTTTATGACTGTTCCGACATAGTCTCCCATGTATATGCTAGAATCCGAAGATGCTCTTGAAGAATCCCACAATCGGTTCGTGGCCGGTCTTGTGGCTCATCCGGTGGAGCAGAGGTTGGATGTCGGCGAATTTAGTGAAATACTTCAACGGCAGCTTTTCTTGCGGGACATTCATACGAGCCTGGACATCCAGCAACTTGGACGCCGCCGAGCGGATTTCCTTGAAAGTCTCCTGGATCTTCTTGACTTCCTTGTCCAAGAGCGTTCGCTTAGCCCGGAGCGTGAACTTGAGCGTGTATCTCTCCCAAACATCTTCTATTCTGAAAGAACCCAGCTGATCTTCACCCTCCTGGAATTCGTAGAACTCTATCGTGAGCGTGCCCACTTTCTCTCCGTTCCTTTCTTCTGAAGCCCTCAGGTCTTTGATGAACGCTTCAATGTACTGCTGGAGATATTGGTCGAAAGAGGGCGATTCGGCTCTAGTGTAGGCCAGAACCAAGGATTCACATTCGACCACCTTGCGGGCCCACTTCCCCATGATGAGTACGCCAGGCCGGTCATAGCTGAATTTACCGTAAGATCGATGTGAATGAATTTCTTTCACGAAGGCAGTCACAACCTCTTCGAGCTGAAGCTGTCCTACGACAACGTCAAAGGTCAAGTCGCGCGGGGCCATCCTGAACTGATTTAGGAGATATCTCTCGAGTTGCCGGAGATCTTCAGGCTCGGAGCTGCTCTCGTTTGGTTATTGGCTTCGACTTCGATTGCGTCAGGCGAATCCGTTCCCAAGCCACCGATCGCGTCGCTAGAATTTTGGGGATCAGGTCTTTCGACTTTCGTTATCCTCTCACTTCAGTGTGCTTCTTACAGGAGCTCTTATAGAGGGAATCCCGAGATGCCCTCGCGACTACCGGAGCACCTCCCAGTAATCGCAACTTCTCCATTTCTCCGCTTACCTCCGTACGTCTCTAACTCTGCTTCGATCATCTTCGGTATGCAAATCTCTCATTAAAAAATTGGATGCCGAATGCATGCGAAGATCGAGAGCAGCAGGAAGGATGCTGAGCGTCCTTTGATCTCACAATCAAATGCCAGATACGAAGGCTCACGGCATGACATTGAATACCGTGATACCGTGAGCAAAGGTATCATAGACATACAGGAGATCCACGCAATGAGGGCAAGCGATCATGCAGCACCGATGCGACCACGACCTCCCTCCTGGTGCAGACACTCGCTGGTGTGCGAGTGTGACACTTGCTGGTCCTACGCCAACAAACCCCGACCGGGTCGGATTAACAGCCTAAGAGAACTTCTTGAGAAAATGAAGACCGAAGATCATGTAGGTTTCAATATATCGGAGGACGGAGAGAGGCCAATGACTCTGTTCAACAGAAGGAAAAACGTTCACGTGTCCACTTCCTCTACGGTCCTGAACCGGTAAGGAGACGCAAGCGTTATACTTGTCATTGCGTCTTATTAAATTGTCCCGGATGAAGTGCGCGAACTGTACATGGGGACTGGGACGGCTACGCAGGAATGATCGCTTGCGCGCTGATGAGTTCGGCGGATGCGGAACCTTAGCGCATATATGGGAGACTGGGATGAGACGAAGAGGAGAACTGTCATGAGGAATCCCCCGGCTCCCAAATTTATGGCTGTCTTTTCGATCTCTGTCTTAGGCCTTGTTGAAGAGAGCCCGCGGTAGCGCTATCAGAGGATTCAGGGTGTCCCCTGAGAGTTGACATTGAGCGGTACATCTATTATTCGGGAGCTGATTCAAGAACCTACAAGTAGGCCCAGTCGTTTGAACCGCTGAAATCGGTTCGCAATGATGTCGCCTTGCGGGGGAAGGACTCGGTCAACGGATATCAACCCAAACCTATGGACCTGTGTGAAACGACTTGGGGCTATTGCTGTTTTTGGTCGCCCGCGCTGATTGCTTCTCAGTTTACTAGGGCTCAGGGAAAAGTCCCTCGAATCGCGGATCTTTGCAGCAGTTTTCACAAAACCAGAACACCTTGGGGAGCCACTCAAGCGTCACCGCGCGCGGCCGTTCAGGGAGAACATCGACTTGGATATCGTGTTGATTCCCGACTTCTGACTAGTTCCTTCTGCCCGAACGGATCGTACGAGAGGCATCTCCTCCTATCACTGCACAGAATACATAGTGCAGGAGCTTGTGCTCTCTGATGGTAATTCGAATCAAAAATAATAATCCGTCGCGAGGCATCCGATTCGGGATCCAGATGGTGGACTGAAACGGAGAGAGTTCGGAACAAGCGAAGGTTTTCGTGCCAAGTCGATCGATTAGAAGCGCCGGGTCGAGCTCGCGAGCTGGCGAAGTCTTCGGACCACTCGGGAGCGCTTATGTTAGAATTACGCAGTGAGAGAATCTATTTCCGCACACAGAGGATTCGATTCCCATTTCATGCACCGAGGTATACGGCCAATGTGGACAGCGCCGAGTAAAAAATGGAGTACAATCCGAAAAATCCGGTCCTGGAAATATTCGCGGGAGTCTGTGATTGGGAGGCTTGAGCTACCGAAATGCTGGAATTGCCACCTGCGTGGCGGGAATGGTATACTCTGCTCCGCCCAGGCCACCGTAGGAGCAGTCACCGACGGAGTGGGCGGTCATCTCGACCTGGAAGATCGAGAAACAGTACATCGGACTTGAGGGAACGAGAAAATTTGTCAGCTATCAGAATCGAGTCGCATCACCATCCTTCCAGCTTCTAGGATGTGGGAGTCTCCTTGATCAAGGAGTCGAGGAAACGTGAGTGAGTACCTGACGTGAGACTCTCTATTCATTTTGATTTTGATTCATTTGACACGGAAGGAGACGGAGTTTCACAACATGGTGACGACATGATTCAAAGAAATACTTCTACCTAATTTGAAGACCATGGCTTCACATCCCGACTTGTGAAATAGACACACTCGATTGAATCTCCTCGCCTCACGATCCCGCACTAAGCCTCGACATGCGAACAATGAAAGGGCAATGGAACTCACCGACCGCATCGTTCCCAAGCAGAGATCAACATCATCATCAACATCTGGTAGAGAGAGACCTCAGACAACCGTCTACAACCGAACGAAAGAAACGAACTTCATTTCGAGACGCTCCATTGACTCGTGTCTCTGCGCGTACCTCGCTTCCTTTGGCAAACTCATGCCCCAGGGAAGTGATCCTCACTCTCCGTCGCACTTGCAAAAATTCGAGCTCTGAGGCTGGAGGCTGCCTAATAATAATTCGCGAACATTGCTTTCGAGTTTCTTACTGCTGCAGCTGCTCCGGATTGATTTAGAATTCGTAAAGGGTCGCGAGAAGATCGGTCGCCTCCGAGAGTGGTAAGTCATATCCATTGCCATGAACGCCATGAACAATAAAGTCATGCGGAGTCGAATATTGTATCGCTTCAGTTCATTCCGAAGTCGTTGGATACTCGTTCGAACTTGATACTCTCTCAGTCCTGGAGCACAACTCTAAATAAGTGAATGGATCTGCAATGACTCTTCCTATTCATTCGACGCGATTTGGGGTCTCAAGACTCGCCATAAAACTTTTTCGAAGTTGGAGGATTCCTACTTGGCATTTATGATGTTCGTTCGCCTCCGAACTCCGAAGACGTTCGATTTTCTTCCCTCGCTGTCCGGTGCGCATTGCGCATCATCTCTGCCGCCGAAGTTCATCCCAAAAATGCAGAATGTGCAAGAATATTCCGCTTTCAGTGATTTCCTGAGAATGTCTCGCAGTATGAGCCGGAGCCGGTCACCATCGAAAGGATCGACAGTCACTTCCTACAAACGCAAAAAAGACAAGGAACGCGAGAGAAGCAGTTCCAGGGACCGTCACAGACACAAGAAGTCCGACAAAGAGCCTCGCCACAAATCCTCTAAGCATAGGCGACGCAGGGATGATATTCCGAAAGCTTATCGCGGCAGCAGAAGTCGCTCGACCAGCAGTTCCAGTGCCGATCGGGAAAAAATCAAAGACTCTCCGAAAAAGCGGCCACGGAGGGAGAAGACTCCGGAAGTGAGTTCGCGAGGTGCATTCAGAGGATGCGTTCCGCAGCATGGAATTCTCCTTTGTCCACATTACCACTGCGTCAGGTTCCGGAGACGATTGTGCCTACACGGGTCGTGAACCTCTGTGAGCTAAAGCCGCGCGATCAATTCCAGCCGGACCCCTTCGAAATACGGCGTCGAGAGCTCATCCGGATGAAAGAAATCGCCGCTGAAGTCGAGCGTAGACTCGCTGAGCTGCTCCCGAAGAAGCTCGAGGAAGAGATCGATCTCCGGAAAGAAAAGATCCGCATGGATCTCAGGCTGGAAATGGAGGAGCAGATCCGAAATGAGAACAATGATTTGGCGAGGATCAACCTCGAGCTGAGAGAGGTACGTTTCGTCGCTTCTGTGTATTCTTGACTTTGAGCAGTGGAGTGTAGGGTTCTCCGCTGCGAATGACTAGCCCTGTGCGCAGAAATCCGCTACAATGTTATGAAGCTCTGAGATCGGACGATCTGAGCGTGATAGAGGTTCTGGATGAGAATCTGAGGAGAGAATACACACGCGACTCGTCAGGTCCCTCGGGGGCAAACTTCAACGACGACTTGTGAGAAGACGTTGACAGCGAGACGTTGGGTAGTGGCCTCCCCCTCTCCGGTCCAGGGAGAGGCCGGAAGGACGGATATTTTCAGGGAACGGTGTCTACAGAGACTTGCGCTCCGTGTTAGATTGCTATCCCTCACGTTTCTCTCCACGGCAGGATTCGTACCGAAGCACGTTCTCACGCTTCGCTAAGTCTCATTGATTAATGCCGCCCTCTGGCTCAGAAGCTGAATATGAGTCGAGTGGCGTTTGTTCTTGAGTGAGGAAGATCCTTCCCTCTTTGTCTTGCGTCCTAGATGCAGAGAGTGAAGACACAGTGAACAGGTGAGGCGGCGACCCGTCAAGGTATGTACACTCGACTGAGCCGCCCGGTCTCCTTGGGTGGGACGCCCACCAAGTCGTAAGTACCATGCTCCGCAGCACGGAAAAAGAAGGGACCTCAATCTTGTCTGATTTTTCTTCAGTTTTCTCCTCCTACTGTAACTTCCGCCCGCCTGATTTTGAGGTGACGTGGAGCCGACAGGCACGCCAATCGAGCATTGGCGGAATACCTGTGGGACAAAGATCCGATAAAACCGAGCGCCCTTCACAGGAAATCAAGCAGATTCAAGAGAGCTCGGCCAAGGAAATCACCGATCTCCGTCAGAAACTGAAAGATCTCCAAGAGCAGACTGCGGAGAGCCTCCACAAGGTCGCAGAAGAAAGGTGAGAGCGCGTTAGAATCCCTTCTTCGAAGAGCAGGAGGAGAATCCCTCGAGCCTCGAAATTCTCTCCGGACTGGTGGTGCCTCTTACAATCGCGTCTGATCCCTAAAGTTTCGCGTCCCTGCAGGTTGAAGCTCTTGGAGGAAAGACGGAAGATCGATGAAGACAGGATGGCGCTCGAAATGGAGAAGCGGAATAAGAAGAAGGAGGAACAACAGCTGATTCTCAATAAATCGGGGAAAGCCCGACCGAAACTGGCTTTCTCCTTCAAATAGGAGCCTTGTAAGTGCCGTGACCTCAATTCTACGCCTGAATCCAACAATTCGATTTTCCTCATACCTTCTCCGTACTCCGTTCCAGGTCCACGATCTTGGACCCTGCTGTACATTGCCATGTATACACCGCGGTATCGAGCTCGACCCATCTACGCGTAGCCTAGTTTCGGATCGAGCGAGCCTATTTTTATCTTGAGTCCGCAGGACAGGGCTTGCTCCATCTACACGCAGACGGACATGGGGGGATATTGTCACTAGATAGGGAGGTTGAATCCTTAATAAAAGCGATTCCTAGATGGGAGACAGTGCTCTCATTTTTCTGCCAGAGCATTCGGCCTTCTAGGGCTCGACCGATGAATAGATCCGACTCCCACCATCGAAGTGGGGTGTCTCGCTGAGGGTGTTACGTTTGTCGTCGAACAGGCCCCGAGGATCTCCAAAGAATACGCTGATCGATCCCTACAGATTCTACCAGCTGGTACCACATCAATTACTGTTTCGTTTCGTCCTGAATGGTCCGCTAGAAAAAACGACGATGGATTTTCTGAGTTGCCTCAGAGCATACGAACGGTATTTCCCTGACTCGCAAGGGGATTATGGCATTTCCAGAGGAGGAATCTGTGAAAGTACGGGAATTCGAACTGGCCATATTTTTCCCGCTCAGTTCTTTGCCGGAGCTGTTAAGTAAAGCATAAGATGCAGGCTTCAACAGTTCCATCATTTTATGAGCAGTTGTCAGATACAGACATTTTTTGCAGATGTAGCCGTGATCATTTAGACTGCTGGTCACTTCTGAGAAGGAGTCGGGTCAAGACTCAAGAGCGGGGAATCTGGAAAGGGCTCAGACCCCAAGATTCTCCGCTGAGGCCGAGTTCCGCAGCTAGCTCGGTAACGCTCTCCAGTGTATCTACATATGTATGTACATATATCCGTCAACCAGGGACACGTATTCCTCTTTCTCGGCTTGATAAAAGACGTTGCAGAAGACAGAGTCCCTCCCTACAGTGCAAGCAGCGATTCTATTCGATTTTTCGCGATCTGCTAGCCGCGCTGAGGGGAACCGATGCCATGCCCGTGGTAGGAGATGCATATATGAAATCGTGCGCAGATCCGTCTTGAACTGATCCTGGAACAGGTAAGCTTTTTGTCGGGTCTTGCCGACTCTGGAGGCTCCTGATGCTCAACGGTGCGGCCGGGGTCGAGGGGGACAGACCCCGGGGGCAGGGGGGAGTTGACGCGGTTGGTGAATAACCACCCATCACGCGCTTGATTATTCCCGTACCTCCCACATTGAACGTACAGTCTTCCAGAGACCTACCCCGACGATGGAAACGAGTCCCCTCACCTAGCTGAATTCCAGGCTACGCCATCGGTTTAGCTTTTGGTCTCATATACGACTGGACTCCCGAGGTTTCTCCCCGAGTTTCGGTGACGCTCGACAGAGAGCAATACAGGTGACCTCGCTTGGATGGAGGAGTCGCTTTCGACCGTGTAGCTTCTTGGAGGAAAGATGAGCGCAGGGGCTCCCAGCGGGGCAGCGTCTCCCAGCCACTCAGTACCAGCCGGACAGGCTAAGGACAGAGTTCATGGTGCGAATTCTGCAATGTTCTGACTTTCAGAGCTCGAGCTCGCCAAAGCCCGAAGCCCACCGGAAATGTCCCAGCACCTCTCACGTACTACGCTCAGCATAGATCGATCTCTAGAGAAATGGATGGAACTGGGGAGCGTCTGACCAGATCTCATGGGAACCGTCACGTTGCGTCCCTCATAGCTCCTAGAGCAGGTATCTGGAGTCTCGGAGACACCGGGTGATTATCCTATGCGCTGTCAACAGAAGATTGTGGACTCGAAACAGCAGCGAACGGGTCGCTAATATCAGCATGCATAAATGATCTCAGCTGTTCGAGTAAATATGAGTAGTACTCGCGAGACATGATACAGCGGTGGAGAACCGTGGAACCTATGTGTATTTCGTATCAGGTAGTTGGTGTAAATGCTGGGCGGGACGCGTCCCCAGACCGTCCTAAGGGGTGACTGGATCAAACACGCCTGTTCGATCCGATAGAATGTTCCAGCGGAGGTACCATAGGGAAAAACTATCTGCGGGAGGATCGATCCCGCCGACCCCCACGCAGTGGTTTTCCCCCTGTGCCAGACCCCGAAACGGGCTCGGATATGCTGCGGTTGAAGCGCTTCCTCGAGTTCTGCATTCATTCTATGGGACTTTCTAATAGGCGATTCCAAAATCCGACAGCAGGGATATCGGCCGATTTTGGGTTCGAGCCCCCGACCGGAAGTGCTGCGCTCGGCTCTGCGCATTTTCACGCATGGTGCCAGACGCGCTGCCCGCTTGACCATCTAGACCTTTGGGAGTTCGATAACGAGCATTTCATCGAGAGACTGAATTTATTTACAGGGCCTGCGAAGAGCGTCTGTCAGCGGCCTTCGCGAATAATGGTCACATCGTTTTGTCTGCGGTTCTGGTGGATACGGGGCGAATACGCATCGACATCGACGCTGTGAATGAAAAACTCAGATACGTTCGCGGATGGAGAGCGGTGACTTGATCCGACGCTACCCAGGAGCCATTTGAAGCCCTGAAACAGCTGAAAGTTCCGAAGGGGAAGCTTCCGGACGATTTGTCGAATCGCGCGTCAATCTGGCCGCGGGACCCAAGGTTTTCCCGGAGCCCAAATCAGGCGTTGCCGCAGAGCACTGAAAAAGCTGAAGCGCTCGATTCGAGCTCGCGCTACGTGTGGGAGCCATTCTCGGAGTGAGAACCAAGGGATTCCAAGCCATCTCCGAAAGTCTCCGACTGCAATATCGGAGTTATCGGCCTCTATTCGAGTCCGTATGGCGTCCGAGCTCTTCCGCCGATTCGACACTTCTCCTCGACAATCGCTGGCGCAACGCCGCTTCTACTGAAATCCATCTGGCCGCGCGCTATAAAGAGTCCGAACCTCAGTAGTTCCTCACGAATGAAGAAGACATGGAACACGAAGAGCTGCGACTTCTGCATCGGTTGCACAGGGCAGCCAATACATACCACGCCAACTCGAAGAGGTAGAGCGATTGAGTTTAGGAGAAGATCCGCTGTCAGCCGGACATGGGAAAGGCTTGCGACGATTCACGCCAACGGAGTGTACCGTTCGAGCCCGTTGAGAAGAAAATGACCTGAAAGAACTCCATGGAGCCGACTGAAAGTTTATTGTTCGGAATGCCGGGTAAACATGCTTCGCTGCTCATGCCGTCGCCAATGCGGCTGTTGTTGAACAAATAAATGTCTCATGTACTGTCCGAGAGGAGCTCGGTCTGTCTTTGGTGTTGGTGGAAATTTATGGAGCTGTACAGCTACGACGATTTCAAGGTCGGCCGTATAAGCCCTCCGGGATTTCACCGTACGATCCGAAAACTATCGCCCGCCTCAGATCTGCTCAATCAAATGTGGAAAATTGATAAATCCTCCGCTCGCTCACCTACTTCCTCTGATCCAGAAACATGGCCTCGACGGAGCAGCGCGACTCTCCTGACTCCGTAGAGCCTTCAAAGAGCGCTGTCGTTGAGAGGTTTCCCTACCCACTGTTTCGGAAGACATCCAACTGCACTCGGAAATTTGTGCAGCACCGAATCAGCTTTACGGATTATTGTTCGGATCATAGCGATGATGACGACAACGACGACGTCGACGATGATGATGATGTCTCATTCACGACGTTCGTTCTGTCCCTCCCTGAAAGTCCACAGCTACCTCGCACAGGGCAAACAAGAAACCGGAGGGCCGGTCTCGGGCGGAGCCTATGCGCTGTTTGCGGTGGTACCAGCAGCGGATTTTCTTCGTTCGGTAGTGCCATCCACTCCACTTCAGACTGCGGCTTCGTTCTTTGAGGATCTACCCGACCAGCGAAAAGAGTCGCGCATCCGACAGTTCGGCCATCGACTGACTGAGCCAAGTTCGCGCAGAAATCAAAAAAGCCGAAGTAGACAAGAGCTCCATCCTCCACTTCATCAGGTCTGCATGGCAAGGAAGTGCTCAACTGGACACTCTGAATTTGCATTGTGCTGCGGCCCGATCCACCACCGGAGATCTCCGAGGTATCCGAGAAGACTTCGCAAGAGCGCGGAAGGCTGCGGTCCGAGGACCTACGGCGGATATGTGCACTCCATCCCCACAAGTTACCCTTCTGGACTTCGAGCTCTGGCTCAAGTTCCGTGAGGTGACCAATGAGATGATCGTGACCAAGAGTGGAAGGTAAGTGCTCATTGCGATAGGCCCGCGCCCGCTTCTCTGGCGCTTCGATCGAACTCCGATGGCGAACCGCAGAGAAGCCCAATTATTTAACGATAGCCAGAATCCCATGGTTTCCGACTCGGCCACCGAGCTTCGAAGACAAGAGCGGCCGACGAGACTGATGAGAGCTCCTAGTCTGAGTCAACCTTTTCCCGACACCACCGATGCCAGCCGTCCTGTCGGAATAAGTTCCTCGCACGCTGGTAAACTCGGAGCGAAACCAAAGTGCAATGGCTCCGATGAGCAATCGACCGCCGCGAGCTCGTCGATTCCCTGCTCGCAGACACCTACCGCACGCTTCCTCAGTGTCGTGGACGCTAGGAATTCCCTCGATGAGGATGGCGGCCCAAGCTGCTCGATGATAGGAGCAAGTAAATTGATCATCCTCGATTCCCATGGCTCACTAGTCTGGTCTCGGCGCCGTGACGGGAGGAGCTCTGACCCTATGATCTCCCGGAGACTCCCGAGACTCCCGATTCCGAGCTTTTCCCCGGGATGAGCCACATTCGGTGGAATCATCCCGTGCTTACAAAGCAATCCTGATTCCTAATTCAAGCCGGGTTTTCGATGGGGAATACGTCACCGAGTATTTCAATGAGAATTTTCGAGCAGCTCTGAGCCCGTGGATCCTCTGGCGCCTTATTGTTTCCATTAGAAATCTACGCCTGAAATTCAGAAAAATTCTGTTCTGTGAGTAGGGTTCGAAGATCCACCCATTCATTCAGCCAGCCAGTCGTTGATCCATGTGAAAACGACGGAAACGAGTAGTGAGCCTTCGACAGACAGCTCAGCATTTTTGTTGTCTGTGGACAGACTCTTTGTTTTATTAACACTACTTTGGTACCGCTTTAGGGCGGCTGAGAGGGCGTGGGAACAGGTAGCTCGGAGTTGTTTTGGTTTTTACCGTCGACCGGGATCTTGTGCGGCTTTGCAATACCTATCGATTTGACATCAAAATCGGCTTCTTCCATTGACAGGTAAACAGTATGACGGACTCGGTCTCCGTACCATTCAGTCGGTCGGACTTACGCCTCGCTCCAAGACAGGAGTTATTGCCTGTTCAAGGGACTCCGCTGAGAGAATATTCAAGCGCTTTCTTCGCTGAACAGCGATTTCTCCCCTCCGCTCGCTCGAGCGTCTGGGGTCTCGACCGGGGAGACCTACAACCTTCAAACTTCGGAAGGTCGGGGTGAGAACGTTCAGCGAAGACGAGGATTACGGAGTGCTTTCTGGTCCGGGTCTGGGAAAGAGCGATTCTGGGGAAACTAAGGCGATGCGAGAAGAGCAGGCGTCGATCTGGTATTCTTGAGAGTTGGATCAACGCAGATTGGGAACGCTCATGACTTCTGTCTCTAGACAATACCGATTCGCTGAGCCCTCCACCGATCTCGAAATCATTATTGTACCCATCGAGACGAAATATCCAAAGGGATGCAGCAATAGCTCGCCAGTTTCCTGAGTCGTTCAAATGGCGAGCGGCCTCCCTCGTTCGCACATCTTCGTTCGATTTCTGCGGAAGCTTGTGAACATCCCACTGGACCACTGGCTCGGAAGCGCGGCAGGCTGGCGGAGAGCTCAGAGGAAGGGAGCGGAGTATTCTTGATTGTTCGAATCCCTGATCACCCAGAGCTTTCGTCGGGCATTCAGCCGTGAAAACTCATCAATGAACATTTCCCTTATGAACTTCTAAGTATGGTGAGATGCCGTCGCAACGCGGTTCCCCTCGACTCACCGATATGTATCTTCCTCGAGCCCCCGGGAGTTCACCAACGTGAGGAGATGAATAAGATTTAATTTTACTTCGATATTTCCGCCATTCAGTAGTTTCGCTATTGTCGCTGCTGATGATGGGTCTCAGCTTGGGCCACTGAGCGGGAAGCACAGCGGAGCATACAGTCCAAGAATGACTCTCAATCGGCTTGAATCAATTAGTATAGAGCTTCTAAAGCGAGACGCAGGCTGAGACCTCATGGGCAAGTTCATGTTTGCTCGTCAACATACATACGAGGAGAAGTTTCCTGAGCAGGACTCCTCACTGGCCTTCGCTATTCGAAGTAGACTCATCCAAGATCGCTCTTCTGACGAGCATACGCGGCATCCGATCACTGACCCAATGTAGAGGAAATTTTCAATCGAGCTTAGCTCGGCACGATGCGATTCTTCTGTGACGAGGGAGCTCACTGTTCAGTGGAGACTCGGACACCATGAGGCTCGGGTGGGGGAGGAAACAGAGATCTGCCTTCGAGGAGGATACGCGACGCTAGGAGACTCCTACAGCGGTCGGAGGAAGGAACCCTCAATATCCTCTGAGAATACTCGCCACTGAAGTGAAAATGTCATTTAAATGAGGATGAACGAATACCAATACGCCCTGGAATTGAGCCGGCCCTGGTTACACAAGTCAGCGTATACTTTCGTGTAAAATTCTGGACCCTTCATTCCTACGGTATTCAAGCCTCATACGAGAGAATATACGAGTTTCAAGTTCTACCCCTTACGCAGAAAAGAAAAAGATCGCATATGTTTGTTCTGTCACTTCGAGATGATTCAGCAAAGTCGCATGTTTCCTTACCCGCTTTCCGTGGTCCGTATCGTCGTTCGCCGAGCTAGAAGAAAAGACATCGTCGGCTATACTCGGTGTTTCGTGGGGCGCGACCCGACGAACTGCCAGAACAACTGGATGCGGCGGTAGCCGTGGCAGCAGCGGCGGCAGGTCAACTGGCCAATAAACTATCGATTTGTTACACTTTAACTAACACTTACCGAATATGGCGGCGTCTACCGTGTGCGCTGTTGTCGCACTTCAAAAACCGGCACCGCCGATGCCGGGACCTGCGTAGAAGTTCGTGTCGATCTCCGTCGTTGTGCGCTCATATCAAATTATTGCGACAGCTGATTCGCCAGACTACGGCTGACCGAGCTCGTGCGGTCCGCTAGGCTCGCTGTAATAAATTCGACGAATCATTAGGGCGCTTATTCCAAAAAGTCAAACCGCTGGATATTGCTGATGATGGGCATTTTCCGATCCACGAAGCGAATCATCGTCATGTCATCGAGTTATTGTTCGGGCACAGGGGTATTCTTCCATGAACCACCGGCTCAGATACCAACCCTGGAGCTTCGAAGTCCCCATTCTACGTTGACGTACAGCCTGGTCATCATCGAGCTCGGCATTGTTCCTCAAGATCGGATACCGTCACGTCAGATAAAAGCATCAGAAGCATCGACTCATTCACGGATTCATGGCCGGGGTGAACTTTCTGTCTGAATTGAGCTCTCGATACATCTCGCTAGAAGTCTTAGATCGATTGTACGAAGGAGTCCCTGAGTCCCGCCGCCTCCGAGAGAATCGCCGTGGACACCGGTGGGTGAGCAACCTCTACACGCTTCACGGTTGAGGTGGGCCACGGCGAAAGATCCTCGGCGAGCCCTGCATGCATGCTGGCAACAGGTATTCCGAGGATTGATTACCCGATAACCCTCCCCGAATGCCGGTTTACCCAACATGATCTACGCTACGCAGCCGCGTGAGCGATTAGGTTGACGTTTAAGCGGTGAATTGTGGTAAGAATCACATCAATCCACCATCTGAGGCTCGGATATCAAGCATATTACCGATTCATTACGGCAGTAGCGACGGACCCCCGATTTCTCTGCGAACCTCCGGCCTTCACACATATCTCTCCCTAGGGATCTCGTGTACTACTTATACTTGCGGAGTTTCTCCCTTTCTCGTGGTCGAGAGAAAGTTCTCGAGTGCTTCTGATGCAGTTCGGATAGTCTTCGTTCATTCATTTTCTGCATTTTCACATCTTTGCCGTGCAACGACTCTTCTCCGGAAAGTTGGCAAGTTCTCTTCAATTCCAGGAGGATGTTCCCAGTAATCCGCATACAGCTGTCAGGACTAGATCCGTTCGGTAGATACTCCGTCAGATTGGAGATTCCGCAGTTTGGGAGCAGCCGCTATAAATTTCAAGGTGTGTGAGATTTGAACGGTCGACAACTAATCATGCACGTGGCTCGAGAGCTAGGCGTTTTCACGGTCACGCCCCTTTGCCATTGCAGGGACGGAGTGGGTGCCGAGCGGGAAATGCGAATCACCGAGCGTTCAGAGCGGTTTCGTGCACCAGGAGTCTCCGAATTCGGGGAGTTTCTGGATGAAGGGACCTGTGGCTTTCAATAAAGTCAAGCTCACCAACAAAAATACCAGCGACTCGAGATACGTGAGTCTCCGGGCTTCGGTCTCCGAAGGATTGTGGAAGCATGATGACAGAGGGGTCGCAATCGTGTAGGCGAGTCTGGTAGCTAATTTTGAATAAGGACCTTTTTCCAGATCGTCCTGAATAGTCTTCATCTCTACGAGCCGCGCGTGATCATCACGGCCGAGGAAAGCGGTAACCAGTGGACTTTCCCCATGTCTGAAACGCAGTTCATCGCGGTGACGGCGTATCAGAATGAGAGGGTCACTTCACTGAAAGTTCGTCATAATCCGTTCGCAAAAGCGTTTCTAGACACCAGAGCAGATCACAGTGGCCCGGGTCTTCCGCAGACGCAATCTCCTTTCGCTCAGCCGATGGCGTCCTTGCAGAGCTCGGACGTACACGAGTCCGCATCGAACCCTTTGCCCAGCACAAGTTCCGGAGGTCGTATTCGAAAATTCTCGATCACATTCACAATGCGACGGAGACGTATCGAGTGCTCTAAACGTAGTCATAGCAGCAGCAGCGTTATTATCGTCGACTTTCCTCACTGACCCAGCTCACATCGCGGAGCGATATCATGCCTGTACCCTCTTCAACTATTTTTTGTCTCCAGGTGCCACTGATAATCGATGGGTGCAACACGTATACCGTTCTCCGTCGTTAGACTACTGGAAAAACGAGGCGTTCCGACTCTCGAATTCGACAATCAACGCCCAGCTTCCGTGCTCAGCGTTGGCGCCGCCTCCGGAATCACAAGCACCCATGTCAGCTCCACCTCCAATGATGGGTCAGACGTCTGCCTTCTTACCAAGTTCCTCGTTCGGCTTCCCCTACATCCAGTTTGTCGACTACTGGGACCCGCCTCCACCCACTCAAGATCTTGAAGAGTTATAGAAGAAAACAATTTATGATCTATTTAACTATTTATTACAATTTTTAAGAACATTGCGCTCGGTGCTGGTGCGAACAAACGTATGGGAGAAGAGAGACGGAATGAGGAAACGATGATGTATGTATGTGTTTATCAATCTCACCAGCCGAATTTCGGCTGACTGTAGTCTGTGGTTAGTTTTTCTGTTTCTGAACATGTCAAAATCGAATGGACGATGTTCCACGCCGGAAAGAATGGCGAAGATAGGCGTCTTGGCCTCCCACTTCATGAGAAAGACCGGAAAACCCGGAGTCTTTAGCGAATCAATGAATTCTAATCCCTAATCGAAGATCATGGCTCGTCGCCAAAAATTTTATTCGATACAGATTCGGGAGGACGCAGAAACTTCTCTCGGCCTCTGCTCGACACCGCATTTCCGAAGCGGGGTGGAGCGCCAGCGATTCGGGTCTACCACAAGCTCGACGTCTCGGACCGCTCGACTCCTTGCCGAGGGCAGCACACTAGCATTGCCCCTCTGCGATGGAGGGGAAGGATGGTGAGCACGATCCGAATCGTCGACGACAACGCTAGGTCGTTACCGAGTGTCTGTGCCACCATATCAATGGCGTGTGAAGGTACTGCTTTTAAGGAATTCGGATTGAGATACAGTGGAGCTTCCTCGCGACTCGAATCGATCCCACCAACATCGACTATCTCCGCGAGGAATGTTATTCAAGCAGTCATACGTGGGAAATAGCTAATTGGACGATGGGGGCCGTCGTGGCGAACCTCTGTTGTGCGAGTATCTAAATCTGGAATGCACGTCAGGTGAAGGAGGAAATTTCAATGTATCATGCGTGTTGAATAAAAAACTTGCACTGGAATCGGTCCTGCCGGGGATATAAATGTGCACCACGATGAGCCCGTTCACAGATTGCCAAGCGTGCACGCTCGTTTCAACCAATCGAGCCCGGCCTGTGCGACAAGAGGGGAACAGATAGGACGCGTTGTATTCACAATCTCGATTGCCTGTTAGGAGCGTCCGAAGCTCAGACACTCGGCACGCTCTTCACGAGATTGCGAACTTCACTCAGTCCCTCCATGCTCGCAAAAGTTCTGTTAACTTTTCCATCTATACCGGAACTTTCGACGGGGCTCTCGGTCGAGCCCAAAAAAACTTCATTCACATCATGACGTCAAGTGACCTTTCGCCACGAGCTTGGCGTGAAGCGCTCCGGCGTGCATTGGCGGGAGAGAGTCGGGTTCCGGCTAAGAAGCCTCCATTTACGGACTCGGATTGACTCAGCCTTAATGCAACAGAGCTTTCCATAAAATCTTCGGGGAGGAACAGCGGGCCGGAATGGATCCCTTGATTCATTCAAGCATCATACACTTTGCCTCAGACACACACGACAGGTGTTCTCTCACCCCTGCGTTTTCGCGCGATATTCTTCGCTTTCTCGGCTGAGTCTGAGAGGCACCGCATGCCATCTTGAAACCAGCGAAACCTCGAATGCGAGCAACGCGCAGGAAAGGAATAATATTTTGTTCCTTACACTCTTTCGGCATGCTTCCAGACCGGCTTCGCTCGGCACCAAGCGTTTGATAACTACACTACGGCGGTCTTATTCCGATGAGAGCCTTTCAATTCTCTCGATGGCCTAATTTCGGCATCATTGATGTTGATGATGTTCAGCATTATTTATGCCTACAGCCTCACCTCTCGTCAGGCATCCCTTGTATGCATTTGCAGAAGGTAATTCTTCTTTTAGCTCCCCTTTTTCCGAAAGTTGACCAGCCGAGTTCTCCCTCCAAAAATTATTTTGCTATATTAGACGCTAGTTCGCCCAGGGCTAATCTTGCAGCCCGTGTCCAGGCCGTTCCTGTATTTCTCCGTAGAGTATTTGACAAGACTGTGACCATGTTACATTATCCTCCCAGACTTTTTCTTGACGATCGAGGTAGTCGGTGCCCGTGCTCAGATGTGTGCCAGTATGCCCAAATATTCGTATGTCTATGCTCAAGAGATTGTCTGTCCTTCTATTTTTTCCTGTCTCCTCTCATTTGAGTCTTCCACTCGGTTGAATTCTGAACGAACTCTAAATGGGATGAGGAGCCTCGGCCATATCCGAAATGTTCATGTGATTCGGAGGAGTTTATCAATATCGCACCATGTGTGCGCGATGAGGACTAAATCGCCTTCAAAGCGCAATCCACGGAGTTTCTCATTCCTTTCTTGGATTGATTCGAAGGCATTCTCCGGATACCTCACATCCAATCCTTCTCTGGATTCGAGTAGAAGTTGGTTCTCCATAGTTCTGACTCTAGGCTAGGAATTTAGAGAACATAGGTGACAAGAGGCGGCCGTGCCTTGGTCCAAATGAAGTGGTGACTCTTTCTGAGGGCCATTCTCCGTTCTCAGCATAAACGGGTTGTCCTGAAACGGTACTTGAAGTAGTTCTACAACACTCCTTTCTATTCTTAGTTTTTTTAGGATTTTCGACAATATGATTTGAAGAGGATATTTTTGAAATCCTATGCTAAAGGAAATGAAAGTATCCTCGAATGAATTCCCGCTTCGAGCAGCGGAGCTCGACTCTGCGGAGAGCGGAAGTCTTCGAGGAGTCTTCTGAGCCATTTTGTCTCACGTAGAGCCATCTCCCTTGAAGGGTCTGGCTCATCGGTGATCGGCCGAGATTCACCCGGGGAATGTTTTCGACGTAATTGTTATCGACCGTAATTGTTCATCGGACTCCGCGGACCGACGGCATATACAGAGGTCAGCGGACCGTTCCTCTCCAGGAAGGGTCCGCTGCGAATAGCTTGTACCGATACAGATGATTTCGATCCATCTTCGGCTGGTGGACCTCTGAGATGGCCCCGAATTCCTCGAACCTTGGAGATCCCTCCGTGGACCCCGGTCGGCCATCCTAGAGGGGGCATGAGATCTCTGGCCCCGCGTCGAGCTCCTTTGTACGCTGTCCTCGAAGCGCAAGGATTTAGTTTTCTGAAAATAAATCATAGATCCAGGATTCCACCCGATATCGGTGTAGACAACGGAGAGCAGGAGGGGGGCAGACAGAGAATGCAGAGCCTACAATGCGCGATATGCGCCTCACGGGCATCATCACGCAGACTCACATCACCAGGAAAGAGGCGAGACTTGAGGCCGGGGATACGTGCAAGAGGACGCAGGCTCTGCGGAGGAAGCCGCCACCACGCAGGTAGGTATTGGAAAGTGGGACCTCCCTGGAAGCCCTGGACAGGAAACTCCACCGGAAGAGCGGCTTCGTGAATATTCCTTTCCACTTATTCGTCTCATATTGGCTGGGATGAAGCGTGGTCATTTCAATAATGAGATCTACTAGGACTCATCCCCTCGGAGCGTGTGCGAAAGGAGGTTTGCCCTGCTTTGATGGTCTCAGAACCGGAACGATAATCTAGCCTGGTTTAATGAGAGAGCTGTTTTTGATTCCTTCTTCCTTCACCTGAATCTCCTAATGGATGACTCGAGTGCGTTAGCGGCGATGACCATGAGGCCATTGGAGAAGTCGTTGTTCGTATACTGAATGTGAGCCTATATCAAATCAAAGATATGTTCTTATCGTTTGATGCGCGAACGAGTGTCAGCGATCGCTGTCTCGCGGAAGTGGCACCGAAGTATAATAAGTACCTCGAACGGTTCCCAGAAATCGAGCCACGAAGACAAATGACTGTTGCGCACCACTTGTGTATAATTCTCCGGGGGAGGTCACTGTGACTTCAGCGTCGTCCACACCGCCTAGATACAGATCAAACAAAGTCGGCCTTCATGAAGATTGTGTAGCCAAACGGAATAGATCTATTCCGTGGAAAGTGAGTGAGCGTAATATGAGAGAGACACTCGAGGAAGATTCCCGATCTAACAGTGGCGGCAGGTAAGCGAGCGAAACATGGAGGACTCACGGTCGAAACTTGCTCTCATCGATTAGAGAACGTCACCTGCGTCCGCCTCCCTTCGATCGAAACATCCTCCAGCGGAGACGCTCTCGCAAATTACCCAATGTCATATTCTACCTCATGGTGAGCAAAGATTCCGAGTTCACCTTGCCTGTCACCTTGCACGGGCACTCCTTCCTATTTCCAGTCGTGTATCGGATAGAATGGCATGATATCATTTGAATTCGATCGCCTCGCGTTTTCGCACCGTCTGGCGCAAAATTGGATGCCCCACCAGATTCAATTCCCCCGAGGCCTCGGGCACTGAAGACCGGAGGAGGAATCTCTTTCGACTTCCCCAGCGCTATTTCCTATTTAGACGCGCGACTCCGCGAACGATGGAATAAGGGTGAACCTCCAAATTCCATGAGATACGAGCACTTGGAGGACCGCCGGCACAATCATCCTAAATCATACCCTAGCCGGGGCTGAATGCTTCCTGAGCTGTGACGATTCAATACTTCGAACGTGATTAATCGACGGGATCCGTTCATTCCCCGCAAGCGGGGCTCAAGCATTCTGCCGGAGCGAATTCACCAGTTATGGACGTTTCTGGATCGACAAAAACTCGGCGGAATCTTTTTGATGGAAGATTCCCGTCTGTACGATCCGCAGCGGATAATTCCGGAGCGTCGGAACAAGTGAAAAATAACAATTTTCTCGATCTTGAATAGAGAAAAGCATTCTCTCCGGGCTCTGAGAATTTAGGATTTCGGCTGGAAAGTTCGCAAGCCTGCTCGTTGCGCGACGAGACCGCCGAGCTCCGCTGCGCTTTGGTCCCGATGCGGTCGGCAGACATCATACGCTTGGAGTTCGAGATTTGCATGTCTGTGGTGGCGTTTGCCCCCGTCAGGAATACCTCATCTTTCTCGAAAATATGGATTTTTCTAATCAAGCACCCGGGTGGGCGAGCCAGAGAACGCCTCGAGCGTTGCCATAGGATGTCTTGGCGACTTTTACCCTATCTCTTCCTCTCTCGGCTTCATCGAGCCCTTACCACGGAAAGGGTCCGATGGAGGTCCCATGTGCCACAGCCGGTCAGAGC